GCAAGTGCTGTTAGCGAGCAACCTATGAAGGCCGGCACGGCACAGGAGGAGTCGGGAGGCGAGCGCCACGCCCGACCGCCTTTGTCTCCCCAGTGGCGATGTTTACACACCGCACCAGGTACTAATTTGACGCTGAGTCGACCTAGGGGAGGCCCAGGACCGGTTCAGATAATTATCTCTGGTGTTGGCCATGAGCGGGAATCGAACTCGGGTGGCGGAGGTTCGTAGCGCAGCGCACTGACTACTACACCACCGCTCCCCATACCACACACACACACACACAGTACGCACTTCCAATTCCTCCAGTCTAAATTAAGATTCTTCTTTTGATTTTGTCGTTCCCCCGCACCTCCGATTAGCACAGTTGGCTACGTACGGTGCGAAAGAAGATCAACATATACACATACGAACCGCGGCAGAGGGGCCAAGGTTCCAGGCTACAAAGAGAGGGGAGTTGTGGGGGGGGGGGTGAGGAAATTAGACAGAAGGCCACATTTCATTAATTGCACCAGGGCCAATGCCAACCACACTCCGCCACTGGTTGGAACTACCTGCACATATCATTAAGTACTGTTGGTGCTCGTGTAAAGTTAATGGGGTGAGTGCAACAAACAGAAAACGTAGTCGAGTGTGCATTTTTGTAGAATGCAGTTGCTTCATATATATGTGTGTGTGACACGGTGACGTGGGAGTTATGATCGTTTGGCAAATCACCCCTCCAGCCTTTCATGCTGTTGGTAAAATATTGCTTCCAAAGTTCATGAAGAAAATTTGCGCGCACACACACACCCAGGTTGTTTAACCGTGTGTCTCCTGGCCAGGTGAGGCAACGCAAGGTTATAACCACAGGTGAGATAACCAAAGGTGAGGGCCACAATGGCGAAATGTTAATTACCTCGCCTGGCATACAGGAGGTCGTGGGTTCGATCCCAACCCTGACACCTGCTGTATATTTGGAGTCTGCGTGTCTCTTTCCCCATAGTCGCATGGATTTTTCTCCGGGTTCTCCGGTTTTTCCCTCCACATTTAGAATCGACACGCGTTTAGAGTATTTGGCTGTGATACATTTCCACGTGATAAGCCACTTCGTTGAGCTATCATTTGTGGCCAGGTCACTTTTGAAAAAGAGCTCTACAGCTCAGTGAGCAATTCAACCTTTACAAAATTACAAAATGGATTAATGCATCAGCCATGATCAATCCACTGCTGAATGGAAACGTCCCAAAAGCGTCGCCATCCCTGGCTATCTTGCGGGGCGATAATGCTGCACGTGGGTTGATTTGATCGCTCCATCTCCGCGGTGGATGGCCTCTCTAGGACCCGGACCATTTCTTGGCCGCCACTCCATCACTATTCTTCACCATTTGTCATCATCATCATCCCTTCGATAGACGTGTCACTGCCCCAGGCTGCCCTTAACACATTCCTGCGGAGGGAGCTGGTAGGAACGTTGGGTTGCTCGGTCAATGGCCAGGGTCAACGGCGGCGTGGTGTATTCCGCAAATATGCCCCATTTTGATGGCGGGCACAAGCCGGCGTGAGTAGGTTTAACCTTGAGTTTTATAAGGGCACCATGGGGTGACCAGCCCCTCCTCACTCTGCCCCACCCCTCCCACCCCCGACCCTCCCCACCCTCCCCTCCCTACCCAGTCCCTCCCCACCCTCCCCACCCAGCCCCTCCCCACGCTCCCCACCCTCCCCACCCAGCCCCTCCCCACCCAGCCCCTCCCCACCCAGCCCCTCCCTCCCCACCCAGCCCCTCCCTGCACGACGGACGGACACACTAATCCCCTGTGGGCTGGTGTAACCAGGAGGTTCCTACCAGTATAAACACTTGCATTGTCTTCAACCGACATAGGTTCTCTAATCCATGTGTTACTCTCTCTCTCTCTCATTGTCTCTCAATGCAATTCCAAGAATGCACCCCTCCACGCTTCTTCGTGCACTTTCCAGCCAAGTCCTTACGTTCCATTATCTTTGTTAACGTCAACGTTTCTCTGATCCCGTGCGTGTAGTACGTGTGACAATAGTGTCTTACGTTACTCGCGTCACGGGTTTTGTTGCATAGAGCAGTGTGTAAGATCGTCACCGTCCTATGTGAAGACCGGTATCTGCCATGGGAATGTGGAATTTCCACTGCTAGCAGAGTGCTCCCAAAGACGATGAGCGCTGCACCGCATCACCGCGTGCAGAAACCGACACGGTTTAATTTAATCTGCACGTACACCACCGTTATAGTCTGATGCTCTGTAACATTTTATTGTAATGCTCAGTTTTGTATTTAATGACATTGTAATTAACTTCCCTACTCAAACGGGCTTAGGAGAAGGCATTTTTACAGATTTAGATAATGACACGGATTAAGCGGTAAGACCAATTCGTGTGTGGCTAAGCCACGTGTAAGATAAATGAAAGCATTGTTAGAACTGCAGATAAGCCCATTTGCAAACATTTAGACTTTCTGAATAAAACTGCACCTATTTTCTTGGTTCTTTCGGTAAAGTCACGTAGAAGGGAAATAATAAAATAATAAAAATAAAACAAAATAAAATAATTCTCACGACGTTTCGGCTACAACGCAAGCAGCCGTCCTCAGGTGAAGAACAGGTCTGTCGGAAAGACAGCGTCTGAATGAGACGCTGTCTTTCATCACACTTGCTCCAACATTAATAACGTGGGTGACATACCTTCAATACTTGACATGGCAGCGTAGGCTCAGAGTCATCTTTATAAAAGCAGCCGCATGATAAACCTGCGATCCGACACACCAATTAAATAGGCTGACACGTTGTACTTTGACTAACCTCCATTTCATGCTGCACACCAATCAAAGTATTTAATAGGACATGCATTAATTTAGTCTGGTAGTGGAGCATTACCACAACCATTAGAAAATTTATCTGCCTAAGCTGGGTTTTAAAAAGATGTACAAGCACTGATCCTTTCACATTGATTCGTTTACATTATATCACCGATTCATTACAAGTGACAGTCAAGGGATGGAACACCTCTGAGAGGGCGTCCACCGATAAGATGGAGTGGGATGAAATCGGCTCGTGCGCAGGCGCTGGCTGGATCATTGCATTGTGAGATTGTGAGAAATGGAGACGGTTGGGGAGGACTGTATCCAGCAGTGGATTGATCATGGCCGATAAGGTTGTTTCTCTGTGGTGGTAAAAAAAAGCCACTTTTTTCAAATTTTCTTGCTGTGGTTTTCACACCTGACGATTGCTTGTGTTGCAATCGAAACGTCTTGAGAATGTTATTGTTTTTTAATTTTTATTATTTTGTTTCCCTTCTACGTGACTTTACCGAAAGAACCAAGGAGATGAATCCCTGCAGTCACGAAAGCTTTAAATAGAAAACTCAAATTCAAGTTCATTTATTAGGTATAGCCCTGTGAGCCATTCGGCTCTTGAATCTGGTGCAACCGCAACAAACAAAAAACAAAAACATGAACAAAAAAACATCTTAAAGTGAATATGTGACTGAGTGCAAACAGAAAATCCAAGAAAAGACAGAAAAATATTGCAGAAAAATACACCGTACACCAACGCAGTGTGCAAAAATCCCAGTGGGATGCAATTCTCCACCTACTTAGACCACTTCGGCCTTGGAAGGAAACGTGCGATTCACACATTAAGTGTGACATGACACAGGTGTGAGGACAGGATGTGAAGTCAGGTAGGTGTGAGGCAATGTTTGAGATCACACAGGTGTGAGGTGGGACAGGTGTGAGGTGAGACAGGAGTGAGGTGAGACAGGAGTGAGGTGAGGCAGGAGTGAGGTGAGACAGGTGTGAGGTGAGGCAGGAGTGAGGTGAGGCAGGAGTGAGGTGAGACAGGTGTGAGGTGAGACAGGTGTGAGGTGAGACAGGTGTGAGGTGAGGCAGGAGTGAGGTGAGACAGGAGTGAGGTGAGACAGGAGTGAGGTGAGACAGGTGTGAGGTGAGACAGGTGTGAGGTGAGACAGGAGTGAGGTGAGACAGGAGTGAGGTGAGACAGGTGTGAGGTGAGACAGGTGTGAGGTGAGACAGGAGTGAGGTGAGGCAGGAGTGAGGTGAGACAGGAGTGAGGTGAGACAGGAGTGAGGTGAGGCAGGAGTGAGGTGAGACAGGAGTGAGGTGAGACAGGTGTGAGGTGAGACAGGTGTGAGGTGAGACAGGAGTGAGGTGAGGCAGGAGTGAGGTGAGACAGGAGTGAGGTGAGACAGGAGTGAGGTGAGACAGGAGTGAGGTGAGGCAGGTGTGAGGTGAGGCAGGAGTGAGGTGAGACAGGAGTGAGGTGAGACAGGAGTGAGGTGAAACAGGAGTGAGGTGAGGCAGGAGTGAGGTGAGACAGGAGTGAGGTGAGACAGGAGTGAGGTGAGGCAGGAGTGAGGTGAGACAGGAGTGAGGTGAGACAGGAGTGAGGTGAGACAGGAGTGAGGTGAGGCAGGTGTGAGGTGAGGCAGGAGTGAGGTGAGACAGGAGTGAGGTGAGACAGGAGTGAGGTGAGACAGGAGTGAGGTGAGACAGGAGTGAGGTGAGACAGGAGTGAGGTGAGACAGGAGTGAGGTGAGGCAGGTGTGAGGTGAGGCAGGAGTGAGGTGAGGCAGGAGTGAGGTGAGGCAGGAGTGAGGTGAGACAGGAGTGAGGTGAGGCAGGAGTGAGGTGAGACAGGAGTGAGGTGAGACAGGAGTGAGGTGAGGCAGGAGTGAGGTGAGGCAGGAGTGAGGTGACACAGGAGTGAGGCAGGTTTCGTTGGTTAAAGTGTCTATGATAAAAGATAATAAAACAAACCTCAAACCCTCCACTAATTCTCACGCGCGTGAGCGAGAGAGAGAGGTGATCACGCAGGTAAGGAAGTTGATGTGTCGTGTGTTGGTGGTGGTGATGTGTAGTGTGTGATGATGTGATGTGTGTTGGTGGTGGTGATGTGTTGTGTGTTGGTGGTGGTGATGTGTTGTGGTGGTGATGTGTTGTTGAGTGGTGGTGATGTGTTGTTGAGTGGTGGTGATGTGTTGTTGAGTGGTGGTGGTGATGTGTTGTTGATTGTTGTTGAGTGGTGGTGGTGGTGATGTGTTGTTGAGTGTTAAAGTCTCTGTGGGGTGGGGCCCGACTCGACTTTAACTCCATCAACAGAGGAAGTCGTCTCGCACGCCGCACGACGCATTCCGCGGCCGTGTTTGCTTGCTGTTAATTACTTAGGCGAACTAAAAAAACCCACGTCGCTTCGACGCGAACGCCCCCAACAAGTGTGGGTTCGGCTCGACGCCGGTGAGTTTTGTTTGTTTGTTTATTTCTTGCTTTTTTTAGTATTTTTAAATTAAACGCAAGGTTTTTTTTTCTTCTGTTTAAGCTACTTGCTTCCTCACGAAGGCACCAACAATGCATTGATTGGGTTTAGCAATTAATATATTTGTCGCTTCGTAGACCGAAGTGATATCAGCTGGGCGAAGTCTCGGTGGTGTACTGAATGCACCCGTTGTGTGAATTAAAGTTTTGTTGAAGTTTATTTGTTAATTTTTAGTTTTAACTCGGTTAAGGCCTAGCGGTCGTACGGGCCTACTTACTCGCCTGGTTGGCCCTACCGGAGGATTTGGTTTCGAGTGGGTAGGGCGTTCTAGGTGAGCCCGGGGCTTGCCGAGAGGCAATAGGCCACGCTGTAAAGATAGCATTAAAGTTTTAACTTTACATTTTTTGTTGCATAACTCGTTTGAAGACGGTCCGGGATGATGTTTAATGTTTAATTTTACCGCATACTTTACACTTGTTACCGCATACTTTACACTTGTTACACCCGTGCATAAGTACTGCATCAATGTATGGATATAATGTACTGCACATTGCCTTAATATCGTACAGACGTTTAAACCTTACGCTCGCAAATTGTGAAATTTGCAATCGCGGTGTTTATATGTTTTAAAAAGTAGTTTCTCACAAGTTTGTGAGGCGACCAAGTAACGTGTCCAAACCTTTGACCGAGTAACGTTGTACAATATGCAACGCGGTGCGGTCGTAGGTTTAAACATAAATCAAAACAGTCACTCCCTGTGCAAGCTAAGACTGCTGCACCTTGCTGTTGTTTTAATTTAAAGAAGAAAGTCAAACAATTAAACAGACGTGCATACCACGGGGATTCTATAACTCTATTCAACGCTATTGATTCGGTGGTTACAGCGCTTTTAACAAGCACAATTAACAGCACACTCCACCGGTGACCTTCAAGGGAAATTATATAATAAGCGACTAATCAATTGTGCCATGAAGAATGTTCATTGCCCAACACGTCGTCTGTTTATATACATTCATTTCGTCTCTAAGGCTTTTATGTTATTGACAGATTTGTTGAGATGTTCTGGCCCAAACATCACTGATGGGGCCAATGCTGCTGCATGGACGCTTTCAACCTCAAGTCAATAACAACAATTACATTTAAACTTTATTTGAAGCTTTCGTGACTGTAGGAATTACTCTTTGGTTTCTTTGGGTAAAGTCACGTCGAAAGAAAATTAATTCAATAATAGAATGCGACGTTTCGATTGCAACACGAGCAGTCGTTATCAGGTAGAACTTCGCTAAATTTGAGAGATAAACACAGACGACTGCTTGTGTTGCAATCGAAACGTCGTATTCTATTATTTAATGTATTTTATTTCTACGTGACCTAACCCAAAGAACCAAAGATTAATAATTATAACATTTCTCGCTTTGCATCAAAGACCTCAAAGCGCTGTACAGTACACAGCAGCGGCAGACACTCAAATTAAAGTTTAATAAGCGTATAAATAGGTTTTAAGGCGCGTTTTTTAAATGTTCAAGCTTTTATACACGAATCTATTGTGACATTTCTATAAGATGTAATAAAAATTTCAATGCTATTCCGAAAAAACGTAACCCACTTGCGAAGAGGTTTAAATATTGTTACTTCCTTTGTATGTATTTGTTTTTAATGCAGATATTTTGTACGCAGCTGATGACATTTTAATTCAAAATCAGCTACGTGTGTGGTAGATTTCACCCGGTTGTAAACGATGCGTGATTAATATAAACAAATCATAACCTGTAAACCCTTATGGTTTACCTCGTATTCTTTTACAGGGAAATTGAGTTTTCAGGTCCATACGGCGTACAGAAAAAACACGTTTTAATGTGTCTATTTGTTTGTGTTTCTGCCTTCTGATGGGACTGTGTAGCATGAACGTTGAGATTTATAAGGACACGAGGTGACCAATACGGTCTGCATTTATCTGTAATAAGGTTATAAGGGGTTGACAGATCTGACAATTCCTCATCGGAAATATACGATTGAACGCATATAAATACATTTTCAAATAAGTTGACTTAGTTTTTTCAAATATACTTTTCATTTCAATCTTTTATCAAGGTATTTTCACTTGGAAAAATCATTCCGATGGGGCATTATTGGACACCCTGTATGGAGCCACATCTGGCATATTGCCACAGTTGTAGATTCCCGTGTTATTGATCGCATATTGACATCACATACAAAAGGGACATTTCATAGCGCTTGTAATTGTGTAGATTATTAGGAGAAATATGGAGTAAAACAGTGGGTAAGCATTGTTCATGTTCTTATATTTGCAAATGTAAAACATAGCAAAGTCCTGAGGTGTGAGGAGTGTACACTGACACTTCAGTTAACTGTAGTTATGTTATTCTTGGTTCTTTTGGTAAAGTCACGTAGAAGGGAAATAATAAAATAAAATAAAAATGTGAGAATTTTCTTGTTATATTTGTATTTAATTATAATTTTATTATTTCCCTTCTACGTGACTTTGCCGAAAGAACCAATAATATGAATCCCTGCAGTCACGAAAGCTTTAAATCGAAATGTAGTTATGCTGTTCACAGATCCTTTTGTCAGCAAGAAACATCCGCGGATCAACAAGGATATTGCTTGATGTTGTGCCACTGGAGTTTGATGTGGCATCCCATCATAATCATCACCATCATCATAACCACCGTTTTGTTTAACGTGGCCACATTTTTTTTACACCTTTACAGGGCTCGCGGTTTGATATAACTTGGCTTTTTTGTAGCTATAACAGCTCGAAGAGGCAGATCCGTCTTCAAACTTGGCCGAACTCGTACAATCTTAATGCTTTTCTTTGCTTAGATAAAATAAACAGTGTAGCCCACGTTTTTAAAGCTAACTCAACACAACTACTGTAAGTGCAAAATTTTTTACAAATGGAACATATGCACAACTGTGTTATGATACATTTTATAACGCACTTTGCATTCCAATGTACAATAATCGTGTAAATCCCATAAATTGCCAGCAGTGCTATTACTGCTCTGCATGTCCACCGATGTGTCTCATTCCAATTAGTGAATTTAATTGGAATTGGCACTCATTTGAAAACGTGTACACTTGTGCACTTTTGGAGGAACACTCTCTTTATTCTCTTACTGATAATTATTGTGATCATTTCTGAGCGTGTGTCATTGCGGTATTGTAATTGTGCAATGCAGTGAAATTAAATTCACTTGTTCGGAATGTTCTGTAAAAATAATTTACAACGCTTTTGTCGATCTACTGCTGGATGAACGCATTCCCATGTCGTCTAGGTCATTACAGCTGTTAAACCATATTTCACCATACTGGTCAGTGCTGGCTGGCGATCGAAACGTCGTGATTTATTTGATTTTTCCCTACGTGACTTTACCGAAAGAACCAGAGTATGGATTCCTGCAGTCACGAAAGCTTCAAATCAAGATTGGTATAGAACCAGTTCAGAAATCACTTGCCACTGATGTTAAGCCATGGCCGGAAAACAAACTCGGGTTGCCGTGTTGAGAGCATAGTGTTGCTGACCGTTGCACCAATGCTCCCTGTTATAAAACAGTGTCATTACCAAATATAGTGTGGTTTTTATTTGCACTTTTAAAAGACTGCCGATATTATTTGTATTGGATTTTGAATGAGTTTTTATAAAATGTATTAATGCTTTAACGCTGCTGTTAAATGAGTCACACTTCTGTCTCAATTGGGGATGTTTTTTACGGCTAATGTTTCTATAAACTGAATTTTAATACGGTGAAAAATCATCTAATTTATATTATTGCCTGCAAAAGAGGCTTCCGTTAATCTAAACATACTAAATGATGTTGTGGGCTTGGGCAGGACACATTGCGAGAAGCGATGATGACCGATGGTCAAGAATAATAATTGGAATGACAGCCAAGAGATGGGACGTGTCCGAGAGAGATGGAGCAATCAAATCAGCGAGTGTGCAATAGCTGAGCGGACTGTGGCATCACAGGACCATGAGGGATAGCGACAGCTTGGAGAGAGGTCTTTGTCTTGTTTGTGCAAGACTTTCAATTTCTCAAGCGACACCGTTGTTTTTGTGCTGATTTCTCTTTGATTTTTGTGTTTAGTTTGTTGTCCTTCCCCCACACCTCCAATTAGTACGATGGGCTATGTACGGTGCGACAGAAGTTCAACATACATATATTTGTGTCACCTATTTTTTGTTTTACTTTTGTTAGTTTCTTGGTTCTTTCGGTAAAAACTGACAAAATGTCGATTTAAAGCTTTCGTGACTGCAGGGATTCATATTCTTGATTCTTTCGGTAAAGTCACGTAGAAGGGAAACAATAAAATAATAAAAATTTTAAAACAATAAAATTCTCACGACGTTTCGATTGCAACACAAGCAATCGTCAGGTGTGAAAACCACAGCAAGAAAATTTGAAAAAAGTGGCTTTTTTTTTACCACCACAGAGAAACAACCTTATCGGCCATGATCAATCCACTGCTGGATGCAGTCCTCCCCAACCGTCTCCATTTCTCACAATCTCACAATGCAATGATCCAGCCAGCGCCTGCGCACGAGCCAATTTCGTCCCACTCCATCTTATCGGTGGACGCCCTCTCAGAGGTGTTCCATGCCTTGACTGTCACTTGTAATGAATCGGTGATATAATGTAAACGAATCAATGTGAAAGGATCAGTGCTTGTACATCTTTTTAAAACCCAGCTTAGGCAGATTAATTTTCTAATGGTTGTGGTAATGCTCCACTACCAGACTCAATTAATGCATGTCCTATTAAATACTTTGATTGGTGTGCAGCATGAAATGGAGGTTAGTCAAAGTACAACGTGTCAGCCTATTTAATTGGTGTGTCGGATCGCAGGTTTATCATGCGGCTGCTTTTAAAAAGATGACTCTGAGCCTACGCTGCCATGCCAAGTATTGAAGGTATGTCACCCACGTTATTAATGTTGGAGCAAGTGTGATGTTTATTTCCTTTTGCGGTATTGATCGGTTTTGAATGGTCATTTATATAAAAAAAATTAATGGTTCAAAACAAGGTTTAATATATGGACTTGTGTATATGGGGCCACTGCACTGGTTAATATGAATTCATTTCGAATCACCCCATCTAGATCAAACCCATATTTCTCAGAGGCAATGAAACTGTGGGGGTGTTCTCAAGGAAGGCTTCATTTTAATTAACCTTTAATTTGTTTTGGTGTAGGCCGGGGGTTGGAGGTGGGTGTTGTAGATGAGGGGAAGCATGTTAAGATGATTGTCTTTAGAATATATATTTATGCTGAGGCATTGATAATGAGCAACATGCATTTTTAGGCCTATTTTGGGACTTAAATAGTTGTTTTACAGCTTTGGAATCTTTTTGGCATTATCCATGATGATGAAAAAATAAGTACAGATGTCCCCGAGTTAAGATGGTCCGACTTACGATTTTTCGACCTTAGGATAGCGATACGAAAAAATTATAAAATATTTTAAATTTCGCGCGGCAGGAAAACGCAGCAGCGTACGAATCTTGGTGAGTACAGTACAATATGATACGTTACGATACGTTCAATGCATGTATGATATGTAGCTTTAGCGATTTCATTTTAGGGTTACCACGATACGATACTTTCAATGCATGTTAAAAGTTTTTATAGCAGATGGGATTGTTTCCTGAAAAAAACTTTCTATTAAATTGCAGTTCATATAAGTAGGCTAAGAATTTACCTTGTTTTTACTTTACATTTTACTGTGCAATACAGTATTGTAATTAATAAATACATACAGTATATAGTTTATACAGTACGGTACTGTAAATTGCTCTGTTTCGCTAAATTATCATCTTTTTTTAAGACTCCTGGGTAGGCTAGGCCATCTTCGACTTACGATATTTTTCACTTACGATGGGGTCGTCGTAACGCATCTCCATCGTGAGTAGAGGACTACCTGTATAGGTTTTACTTGTTTCTGGCAATGCCAAAACGTAAGCATAGGTTTTACCATTGCCAGAAAGGATAATAAAACCTATACATTTTTCATCATCTTGGATAATGCCAAAAAAATCCCACAGATGTAACTGCTCGACCCGAGCTGTATGTGTTCTGTTACTTGTATTGTCTTTGCTGTTGGACTTTTGGCATTCCCTGCTCTGTCACAGGTCAGGCAAGGCCATGCTGTATCTGGTGTAGGCCTTTTGGTTTCAAGGACAATGCATATTTTATCGGAGCATCTTTTTTGCATGTTTTGCCACAAGTATGTGCGGTTAATGCAGACTTGATGCCTTGCAAAAGGTATCTATTTGGTATTTGAACATCTTAACATTGCCAGAAAGGCTAAAACCTTGTTATATTTTCATCATGTTTTACAGCTATTTATCTTGAAGGACCAAGATATACAGTATTTTAGCCTACAAGTAGCAAGCAAAATTTTCAGTGTTATCTTGATATATCATAACCCGATGTATTCAGGCTGGCGACATCTTGCCTCGGATACGTTGCAGGAATGTTGTTGCTGATGTTTAGGCGGATTCTGGTAGAACACGTTTGAATATTCAGCTACCCACTGAGAAGTTCTGCAGATTAGGAAACCTCAGTTTCATATTTTTTAATCGGTCATCATAACAATGCACAGGGGGAGTGATTTTAAAGGTAATATCAATATTTTTAGAAAATAAGGATTAATCATGGAATACGTCATTGGCTTGAAACACACGAAACAATGCAGAATCGCTTCTCGGCATGGATGAAAAGGTTTGGCCGGGTTCGTCTGACAATTGTGTGTGTTTTATGAGCATTTTTTCCTTATCATGAAAGTGTACAAATATTTCTGTTTGAATTGCAATCCTAAAAAGGTTGGCATGCTATATATATAAGTAATCAAATAAATGTAGCGATTATATTAAAGATCATAAACATGCTTAATGTGTCTGATTTGTGTGTTCATAATCGTGTTGCTATTTTGAATCCTTGTAAAAGAGTCCAGAGAACAGGCCACAGAGATAGACATCACAGAACTGCTACTGAATTCTATTTGTGTGTACATCTCTCCCCCCACACACGCATACACGAAGGGTAATACTGTGTCTCATGGCAGTCAAACTGATATATTTTTTTGTGATGGCTGGAATGTATCCAGATGGAGTGATAGAAAAACCAAATTACATTTTACGTACACTAATTGGTCACCAACCTGAGACCATCATCAACTCACTGCACGTGAGAATGTGAGTTAATCGCACGTGGCAAGGCCAAATCGAACACAGGTGCACAACAGTTCTGTCTCTGTGATCTCACCCCCGACCCACCCATCCGCCTTCTGCAACCACGTCCATTCTCTGCGCATGCGGTGCGGTTGTTTGGAGGATTCGTGTGTACGGCGTAGTGTCTTGACGCCCACGTCCAAAATCCTGGAACCCGCCCCACCGTGACATTGCTCAAGAGGATGTTGCTGCCGCTGTGCAGATGTGCAGGAGGCTGTGCAGTCCATCGAGCGACTGCAACAACGCCTGCGACAGAGGGCGGGCGGGAGCGGCGGCGTAGGCGTTGGTGGACGGGCCAAGGTCGATGTAGCGTCGCACGAAGCGCACCTAAGACTGCTCAAGGACACCCTGCAGAGTTCGACATTCCGGAGCATCTTTGCACTGCAGGGCTCCATAGCGCAGCTTGACAAGCAGGTCTGGGTCTGCGTCTGACAGTGCATCGCTATTTTAACACTCGGGAGTTGAGGAGGGGTGGGGCAAGGGGCATTCTGTTGGTGATCTGGGACAAATGGATATACTTGGTATGTGTATTAATGTGATGATGACAACAATGGAGCAGTGACGTGTCTACTGCTGCCTTTAGGTTATGCGACCGTATCTTCGATGTGGCATGGAAGCTATGAAAACAGTGACTTTAGAGTTTGAGTCACGTCCACGGCTGACATCGGTGATGAGTGATTTCTTGACTGGTTCTGGGCCAACCTTCAATCCACACCGACCAGCATAGTGAAGTATAGTCAAACCTCCCCCATGCCCATAACACTCTCAGAAGGCCTTTAGCCAGCAACGAACTGACAAAGGGCTGTTCATTATTATTTAACACCTTTGTAGGCTACATTTGAAGTAAAATATTTCCCAAACTGATATGGAAAGTAAACTTACGTGTGATCCTGTGGCGGTAAATACCCGGCTTCTGTTACACGTCCAAATTTAATATATTGTGCCAGGGCTGGCACCTTGTCCCATTTGAATTTTTTTTTTGATGACACAGCGCCACTGCTGTTTTCGACGTTATTGTGAAAATTCCGTCACAGTTCCTATGATTGCTTTTTCATTGCTTTCATGGCTTTATTTTGGTGATTTCGAAAAGAGTATTGGTTTAGCCATGTTTGTTTGTTGTAGTACAGAGTTAGACTGATGTCCTTAATCTAAGTTGTCTTGTGGTTGTTGTTGTTTGACTTGCATCCCACTGGGATTTTTGCACACAGCGTTGGTGTACGGTGCTTTTTTCTGCAATATTTTGCTGTCTTTTCTTGGACTTTCTGTTTGCACTCAGTCACATATTCACTTTAAGATGTTTTTTGTTCATGTTTTTGTTTTTTGTTTGTTGCGGTTGCACCCGATTCAAGAGCCGAATGGCTCACAGGGCTATACCTAATAAATGAACTTGAACTTGAACTTGACGTTACATGTGTTACCTGTGTAATTCCCCTGCAGCTGGATTCGCTGCCGAGCAGGAGAGTGTCCCAGTATGACTTCTCGCCGTCGGGCGAGCTTGTGTTTGAGGAGCACGGAACATCCGTTCCCATTATCCAGCTCCCAGCGGCGCCACTGCCCCCCACTGTGGATGATGAGGACTTTACCCTGGTGGTGAAGCATCTAGCTCAGGTAGGGTTCTCATCGTCATCGTCGTTTATTATGATCTTAATTATTGTTCCTCGCCTGTCAACATCGTCATGTTTGACGATGTCATCACCATTGTCATCGTCGTTGTCATCAATTGCTTTATTATCATCGTGTTTTGTTATTATGATCGTTCTTCATGGTTGTTAAAGAGTAATATTTGTCATCGTAATCACCAAATGGTTATATTATCGTAACTAGCAGTAGCAGTTGCAGTGTCATTAGCAGCAACAGCAGCAGTAGTCATCATCATCTGCCATGGCCTATCCATTGCTGGATGAAGGCCTCTTAAGCCATTGCCATCTCTCAGTACTGAAATGTAACTACATATCTATCATCGGCATGCAAACCAATTTCATCGGGCCTTCTCATTGTTCGATATCATCTCACATGTTCCCTCCTCTTGGCTGCCAGCAGTGTGCAGCATCATGTAGTGGTACCTGCCAATATCAATATATTGTGATCATAATTATCAATAGCCAGAATCATCATTATTATCTTGTCATCAATCATAGTAAAAAATATACAATATGTCATTGTTCCTATTGTTCTCAAATGTGCGTGTACCCATGTGCATATTTGCAACAAACTAACAATGCTAGTAAAAATATCAATTCGTTTTAAAACTATAAACTAAGCCGGGGGAAAAAAACTGTAATAATTTTATAATATATCAAAAACATTGGGATACAAATCATTTACAGTTATGCGCCAATGATTCCAAGGTAAAGTACCACAACTATTTAATGTACCGGATAAAGCCTACAGAGTTTTTTCAGAAGCGACCTGGCCACAAACGATAGCTCAACAAAGTGGTTTATCACGTGGGAATGTATAGGAACAGCCAAACAATGTAAACACGTGTTTCCAAATGTGGAGGGAAAAACCAGAGGGTAAGCTGTCGCGTGCCAGAATTGTGGTCCAAATTTGCCACCTGTGAAAGTTACCTGCACATTACTGAATTGGGATTACACCCAGCACCATCGCCCCCAACTGTAAAACTTCTGCAGACTACGTGAAAGGTAGCCCCTTCACGATAGCCTTGTACTATGAGAATGACGCTTATACCAATTGCACCAAATTATTATTATTGTTAAACGCTACGCTAATTGCGTTGCTGTGTTGTCGTCAACGGGGCAGGGCCGCCTTGTGCACTTTGTGGACCTCGACAAGCCCGAGGGCGTCGGCCTGGGCTTCAGTGTCATGGGCGTGAGGAGCGAGAATGGACACAACGGCATCTTCATCAAGGCCATCCACGCGGACAGCATCGTCGGCAGGTGGGCGTGTGACGATTCGCCTCTTCCCCCCCCTTGCCCCCTCGCAATTAGATGAGTTATCACAACTCTGGGCGCAGGCAGGTCTCACCGCCACCACCACCCCCATATATCCCCTTGCAATTCGATGAGTTATTGCAACTGAGCACAAGCAGGTCCTCTCAACAATATGATTGCCTTTTTTGCCGATGTGGTGAATGTGGAGCCTCTTTCCTGGCTTACAGGACTCGTGACGTAATTACATAAGGCGTGTATGAATATGTTCCACGGAGAGCTCGACTCTAGAATTAGGGGGCATTTCACCTTATTGCTCGAGCATTATCGAGTCAAACTAAGGCACTCTTTTTGGGTTCTTAGGGGTCATAGACGTTACCTTTGACCCATAGAATCAAATTAAGGCAGCTGTTTTGATTATTAGGATTAGACGGGTATTGCCCCAATACTCGCGGTCAGAATAAGGCCGCTTTAAGATTCTTAGGCATCACTGTTTTGACCCGAGGCGCTCTGGCAAAGGCATATTTAGGATTCTTAGGGTTCAATGCTGTTGGTCGAATTTCAAAAAGTCATCATCAAGAGTGATGTAGCCACAGGTCACAATCTCGGAGAGTATCCCCATGGAAATATCTTAAAGATACTCAATGGTCACATTAAGGAATATTATAGTGGTGACACAGCAGTGATAAATTCAAAAACATACTGGGCATCTGTGAGTAAGAGCTTTATAGCTCATTGGATTCCTCCAGTACAAATACATATTCTGATCTAATACAGTTTTGTAGGACCCTGCTACGTTGCGTTCGAATGAGCCCAAGACCCCGACTTGAGAAAGTGAATGCTGTTGAAATCCTTTTACTAAAACTATCCATGATAGTGTTTTTTTGGGTTGGATCGCGTAAATATAAATTTGGCATTAAACCCGCTACCACCCGACGTTTCGACTGCAACACAAACAATCATGCTTGTGTTGCAATCAAGCTTGTGTTGCAGTCGAAACGTCGGGAGAATTTTTATTGTTTTACATTTATATTATTTTATTATTTCCCTTCTACATGACCTTACTGAAAGAACCAAGAATTTAATACTAATTTTTATTTTTATTTTACCAGGTAAGCCCCACTGAGATATAAAGCTGTTTATCAGAAGCGACCTGACCACAAATGATAGCCCAACGAGAAGTGGCTTATCACGTGGTAAATAATAGCAGCAGCCAAATACTCTAAAGCGCGTGTTTCTAAATGTGGAGAGAAAAACCGGAGGACCTGGAGAAAAATCCACGCGACTCCAGGGAGAACATGCAAACTCAAAAATATTCAGCAGGCATCAGGGTCAGGACGGGACCCACGACCTCCTGTATACCAGGCGAGGTATCTTCTTGGTTCTTTCGGTAAAGTCACGTTATGGGAAGTAATAAAATAATAAAAATAAAACATAATAAAATAATTCTCACAACGTTTTGGCCACAACGCAAGCAGCCGTCCTCAGGTGAAGAACAGGTCTGTCAGAAAGACAGCGTCTGAATGAAAACCACCAGGCTTGGCAGCGTATATTTAAGCTGGGTTGGAAGGGGAAGAGCGCCCCGACAAAGGAATTTGCATATCAAGAGGAATCTAGCATACCCATGGGAAATGCAGGTATGCGACCAGTACCACTTATGCCCGTGCATTATGCAGGAATATCAGCATCAAAGGGAGGGGATATGGGAAATGCAGGTATGTGATTAGTACTACTTATGCCCGTGCATTATGCAGGATTAGTAGCCTCAAAGGGAGGGGATATGGGAAATGCAGGTATGTGATTAGTACTACTTTTGCCCGTACGTTATGCAGGATTAGCAGCATCAAAGGAAGGGGATAGGGGTAGCATTAATAAAGGGAAGGAGTGTTAATAGTATGTAGCTGCAGTAACTAAAACCACCACGTAAACAACTGAAGTATAAACTACATAGTATCATCAGTATACTAAATATACTCTACAATAAGCTGAGTTACTAAAAATCCAGGCGTGGTATTTAACATTTCGCCACCGCGGCACCCCCAGGGATGGCCGTCTCCAAGAGGGAGACCAGATCCTGGCCATCAATGGCATGCCGCTGGACGAGCGCGTCTCACAGGAGCAGGCGGTGCGGCTGCTGCAGACGACCACGGGGCCCGTGCAGCTCGCGGTCGCCCGCTTCTCCCACGACACTGAGACGCCCCCAACAGAGGTGGGGGGTGGAGGGTGGGGTGGGTTGGGAGGGGTGGGGAGGGGTTGGGTGGGGTGGGGAGGGGTTGGGTTGGGAGGGGTTGGGAGGGATTGGGAGGGGTGGGGAGGGGTGGGGAGGGGTTGGGAGGGGAGGGGTTGGGAGGGGTGGGGAGGGGTGGGGAGGGGTTGGGTTGGGAGGGGTTGGGAGGGGTTGGGAGGGGTGGGGAGGGGTGGGAAGGGGTGGGAAGGGGTGGGAAGGGGTGCGGGGGGGTGCTTAGCCGTCCCTTCCTTCTCGATCTCTCTTTAGTTTTTTATGTAAAGATTTCAAACTCGGGTCGGAAGCATTTGTGCATCGGCTCTGTCCGTGCATCGATCTGTCCGCAACACATTTCTCTTGTAAAGATGGTTCAATATGGGCGAAACTTTTCGTCCGATGTTGTGTTTCTCTTCTGGACCTTGTAAATTTGGAACTGGCTACATTAATCAAAGGGTTATTGGCCAAAATGTGGATGGACAAACGGGAGCGCGAGGGGCCGTTTGCGGATATAAAGACACGTTTTTCTCTGCCACCTCCCCAACGGCTTCCGTACTGCTCATTAAATACCTCCATCGATAAACGCACATTGCATAGCCGTTACATAATCCATGCGTACGCTGATTTTTTTTCATTATGTTTTATTTTAAAACATATCACGGATTCATAATACAACAAAAAATGTTGGTGATGCTGCATTGACAGTGGTTCACATTTCACAACAAAATTCAACACATTCAATAACACTGGGACCTTAATATATAATCGGTGACATTTCGGGAAATGGCTCTTCTTTATAGCACATGAAGCATGTTATGTTACCTATTATATATATTTTTAAGGCAGTGTTACTGATGAATGCCTTGAGTAAAAAAAATGTACATATGTGCGTGTGATTTTTACATGATGGTTATGTGGTTTTCTGCCACACGGGTGGATAATCATCAACATTTTATATTTTTACCACACTTCACATCTCACTGCAATCTCAAATATACCAAAGGGTTCAGCGCACGAACCAAACGTACACAGATCTAGAAACGCAACAACCAATTTAGAAAGAAATGTATAAATGTAATGCAATGAACATTCAGTAACACAGTGATACAGTCAGGGAGACCGTTGCAATAAAATATAAAAATTATGAGTAGTTGTATACAGCGTCGTTTATACAAATTGTATCTCACAGACAAGCTGAAGACAGCCAGGCGGTGAGCCGGCGCCCAAGCTCTGCAGTCCTCTACTTGTGAAGAGGTTTTTAGCCAATTAACGAGTTTTTATACACGTGGCAGGAAACCTGAGCACACGGAGAAAACTCACGTATATGTGAGGGGGAAACACTGTATCCCATACAGGGGGGACGGATGATATTAGCCCCGCACTTTGCTTTACCACATTCTGGCACATCAGGGTATGACACCTCAGTGGCGATGGGATGGTATTTTTACAACGTGTATGAGATCCAACAACCCTTGCTTCCACGGTGCTGGATTACAGGCGTGCGCCATGCCGCCTGGCCGGTGAGACATGGGTACAATAGACGCTGCCGGATTCAGCCAAAACTCCAATTAATTGCCGCCGTTTCTGCTGCTACTCTAGGGACTGGAGCAGACTGAAACCATTGAGTTGGTGACTACGGGCAGTGGAATGGGCTTTGGAATCGTGGGCAACCGAGCCACAGGGATCACCGTCAAGACAATCTTGCCCGGAGGAGTCGCTGACAGGGTAAGCTGCTGTGCTGCTTGTGTGATTAGAATCTCCATTTATCATTCATTCTTTGGTTCTTTCGGTTAAGTCACGTCTAAAGATAAAATAATAACTTAAATAATAGCATATTATGACGTTTCGATTGCAACACAAGCAATCATCATCAGGCATATTTAATTTATTATTTTATCTTTAGACGTGACTTAACCGAAAGAACCAAAGAATAATTCCTGCAGTCACGAAAGCTCCAAAATTAAGATTCTCCATTTATCCTTCTTCATCGCCATCACCTGGTTTCCCCAGGCCCTCCCCTCATTTTCAGTTGACAATTATTTCATTCTTTTCTTGTGCCTTTTTTTAGTCGTAGTGTTTGTGGTAAGTAAAAAAAACAAGTGGCTATTGTGATTGTCCCCAGCCACTCTTGTTCATACACTTCGATATCCGCGAATGCGGAAGACGCTTTAAATTTCACGGTAGGATAGAGTAAATTACATGGGAGTTCAGGATAAAATGTGGTAAGGAGAGAGAGAGGAGGTGGTGATGGGTGGATCACAAGTCAAGCATTGGGTCATGGAGCCTAGAGGTTACATTCTAGATTTGAAGCTTTCGTGACTGCAAGGATTCATACTCTTAGGTTTTTTCGGTAAAGTCATGTAGGTAAAAAGAAATAATAAATGATCAAAAATACAAATAGAAATAATAATAGAAATAAAATAATAAATCACGACCTTTCGGAGGCAACACAAGTCAGCTGTGACAGTCCCACCTGATGACGGAGACTTGTGTTGCCTCCAAAACGTTGTGATTTATTATTTTATTTCTATTATTTTTATTATTGATTTTTTATTATTTATTCTCTAGAGGTTTAGTTGAGCAACAAGGGAAAGATCTGAACTCGCATGGTGGGATAGCAGACCTCGGATGTTGTTCATCGACCGTGATAGAGCAGAACAAAGCACACGGTAGCATAGCCTGATGGCATCATTAGCATGTTGATGTCATGATCTATGCTGAAAGTGCACTGAATAAATGTTCCCTTAAAATATTTTCTTGTTTTTGAACCATTAGAGAGAGACGGTGCTCGATATGAGAATAAAAGTTTAGCTGGATGACTGGACGTATGGTTTGCGAGTATTCACTTAAAATCGTTGTTTTTTCGAAGAAATCCAGAAAATAAAACGTTTAGATAATGCGGTTTATTAATAGTCATGCAACAATTGTGTGGGTGGTGTGAATCGTTATGTGATTGATTATTATTAATAACCTCTTGTGCTTCCTGACTCCCACAGCGTATCAAGCACAACATTTTTTTTCATTCTTACTTGTTGTGGTTCTATATTGGTCCCAAAAACTCTGACGAAATCAGGATGGGCGCTTGTGCACGGGCGATCGGATCCTTCGCATCGGCGACATGGACGTGCGGGACAAGGGGAGCGAGGAGGTAACCGTTTACACTGGATTTGATTTTATATTTTATTTTGCACATTTTGCACGAATCACGGCTTTTTAAGCCAAGCAGCCGTCAGCTGCAGTCTCGCGTGAGCGACGAGCCGTAGTGAAACACCATTTACAATAATGATTTGCACTGGTTCACAGCCGCTTTGTCATTCCACTGCTGGATGAAGGCCTTCCCTTTACACCGTGTCAGTCATGGGATTTGTGTGACGGTACTTTGATCATGCCAGCCAGTGCTGGATGCCCTGCAGAGTTGTGATTGTTATTTTTTTACACAAGGTAAGGCCCACTGAGCTAATTAACTTATTTTTCAGAAATGACCTGGCAACAAATGATAGCGCAAAGAAGTGGCTTATGTGGAAATGTATAGCAGTCAAATACTCGGAATGCATGATTCTAAATGTGGAGAGAAAATTTGGAGGACCCGGAGCAAAACCCACACGACCATGGGGAGAACATGCAAGCTCCAAATATACAGGCATTGTCACGGTTGAGATCGAACCCTTGACCTCCTGTATACCAGGCGAGGTAATTAACATCTCACCACCGTGGCGATCGCTTTGCAAATTACTGGAGGAAATGTAATTGGTTACCAATTATTGTGTAACCTGTACATTGTCATTTAGATAGAAGTTGTCAATTATTTTCAGGTGTGTGCTTTAGTAAGAAATTATGTATGTGTAGTTACATCGCTGGATGTCAACAGGCTGTTGGTGCAGTACCGGCCCTAGAGGGGCACGGCGTGCGCTGAATAATAGCGCTGATTGATGGCACCACGCTTTTAGTGCAGTGCCGGCCCTACAGGACAAGGTGTGTGGGTGCCGACCGAAGGATGAGGTTGTGTCAGGCCATGGCACTCTGGTTGACGCGGGAGGACACGTGACTGGTTAAGTTGACAGAGGGGCCCCAAGAGGGGGCTAGGGGGGGGTCACGTGATTGGGACCCAGATCCTTCCCGAGGATTCTGGAAGGTGGACGTGGCCAAGGGCAAAAGCCCTCCACGCCGCAGAGAATAAAAGCCGGGTCCCGAGAGGGACCAGGGTTGTTGCTCATCCTGGAAGAAACCCTTCGTGTACGTTCTCCGTTCAACGATTCTCCAACACATGGACCCGGGCCGAAGTCATTGGTCCCGGTCCGTAGTAGCGGTTATGTTGTAACTAGTGTAGTTACTAGTGTAGTAACTGGTGTAGTTATCCTGGTGGTCATCACATTAGGTTGTTATTCTGTTCAGGGGAAGTTACCCCGTGTGTTGAAACTGAATAAATGTGTTGCCTCTAAGTCTACGTCTGCGACTCAGTTGAACCCACTATAGATGTTATTAAAATTACAAATATGAATTACATTTAATTTAGATATTGCCCTTCTCTGTCAAGGTTGGTGAAGGTGACCCAGGATCGGTTCTCAGATCACTCGCCACTGATGTTAGCCATGGCCAGGAATTGAACGCAGATTGCTGTGTTCATTGTGCGGTGCGCTAACCAATCGCATGCGCTCGTGCACAAGAGAGTTCCCAATGTATTTGGCTGCTCTAAATAGTATTTTTTTAGTATTTGGCTGCTATAAATTTCTACATGATAAGCCGCTTTGTTTGAGCTATTATTTGTGGCCAGGGCGCTTCTGGAAAAGAGCTTATATAGGTCAGTGGGCCTTACCTAGTAAAATAAAATGCAAATATAGTTTAAGTTTAGTTGAATCCACAACCCAAATAATCCGCCCACGGATAATTGAGCCTAATCTGTAAATGCTGCTGCTACTCGCAGGTGATCTCTATCCTGCGCCAGTGTGGTACGCGCGTCCTCCTCCTGGTTGCTCACGGAGAGCCTGGCGGGCAGCTCCCTGCCACCCCATCGCCGGCACTCGCTCAGACTCCTCCGGACCTCCCTCCGGTCGACTACATCCCTTCGGAGGCTTCGCATTCCTTGGCGGCGGACCGTGCCGGCGCGTCCGAGCCCTGGGCAGGCGAGAGCAGCGTGAGTCGCGCGTGCGCGCAAGTGCGACTGTCGCAGTATCGCACGCTTTTAGATGCGCTTCTGCTTTGTCGTCTGGAACGCTCTTCCTTATGATATGAGGAAGCCACTGGAGCTGTACACTTTTAAGTTGTCTGTATTGAAAACTCATATTTCGAATGCCGCTTTTTGTGTTTAGTTTGTTGTACCTCCGATTATCACAGTTGGCTACGTATGGTGCGAAAGAAGCTCAACATACACATACGTACATATGTACGTTACATTTACGGACACCTTTGTAAATCCACTGCTGGATGATGGCCCTCTCCCCCCTTGGAGAGCTGCTTTGACTGCCACAATTGTCAGTGTTGGTTGGTGAAGTGATGGGGCCCCAGGGCCAGTACAGGTTTTGCTTGTCACTAATGTTAACATATGTTCCACGTGAAGTTTTATTTTTTTATGACATCTCAAAAACCTGCTTCTTACCCATTACACATTGTGTGCATATGCATCTGGCAGCATGTCTAATCCTGTTGCGTAATAATGAAAAGCAACATACCCAGAAAAGTTTTTCCATCATTTTATATGATCTGCTATGACAAACGGATCAGATACGCGGACATCGACAGAGTAAATGCAACCGTAGCGGAAATGTGCGCAAAGGAGCGTGGAAAGATTGTACGCTTGAAATTACACTCGTGGGAAAGAATGATGAATATGTGGAGGAGAAAACTTCTGCTGGTCCGAGGAGATGCCTTGTGGCAGGATGTGTCACAATAAAGTGTGATAAGTGCTCAAGGCTAATGACAGAGTGGCACCTAAAAGAGTAAACGTTTCCTAGAGAGCACTCATTGCTAAGATAGAGCGATGAAATCCGCCTTTTGTACGGAAGATAGATGCCTCCATAATAAACGTTTTGTGGTTTAGATCGCGTTCATATAAATGTGTCGTTAACCCTGCCACCACCCAGACACAGCCAATTAGTAAGGTTTATCAATTAGTTGTTACTTCAGCACACCGGTGTGTGCTGGAGAGTAAACTCGTGTTTCGCTGGCGATTACAAACAGCTTCAACGGGCGAGTTTTGCCAGAATTGTGAAGGAGTCTTCCTGTTTCCGGTCTTAAATAGAGTAAGGTGATATCATCACTGTGAGCCTATCAGGTGCAAAATCCTACATGTTAAATAGATGCCGAGTTAGATCCTGGGAGCACCGGAGATGGCGACCTCTTTGGGATCATAGTTGCCGATTAACGATGATCGTGAGGACAGTGTTGACGGTGATCGCTTCTACCCGCAGGTGGACGAGGAGGGAGTTGATGACGACGTGGAGGTATACGATGTGGAGCTCACGAAGGGTGGCCATGGCCTGGGGATCAATCTCACCAGCACAAGCGACAACAGTGGGTGGTGCATGCCCAGCAACACCACCACCACCACCATCGCCACCATGCTTAAGTGAACGTGCTGCCAGTCCTGATTGCGCATCACGTGGAGTTTCTTAATTTGTTGTATGCTGTTTTTTTTCCTCCCTCTTGAAATCTTAACTTTGAATCATGGGTTCTTTAATGACAATAAAACATTTATATATATACAAATATCCCAGTCCAAATCAAGCAAATTAAACCCTCCGCTGTGTAGAGCAAGGGCAGTCCGGCGTTAAATTAAAGAACTTAAATGATTGAATACTATATGTGCTGCCGCCATTGAACAAAAATAACCGTGCGAGGCACTTGCATGCCGTGACTTCCCTCTCTGGCCATAGTGGTGGCTTTTTTAAAAATATTTTTTGTAACGTTTAGCTTCCTTAATGTGGTTGCAAACGCTTCCATGTTTTAACCGTTGTCAGATAACCAAAAAAACATTACAACCGAGGTTGCAGCTGTTGTTAGTGTCGCTGTGCCTCAAACGTGGGTGCACCATTATTTATATATATATGAAACAAATGTAGCTAAATTAAGTACGCCGTTTGTGGCCGCTGTTATTTTCCGCAGGGATTGTCGTGAGAAGCATGGTACCCGGCAGCCTGGCCGAAAGAGACGGGCGGATCGGCGTGGATGATCAAATCGTGGCGGTGAGTGTCGACAACCCCAGGCAAAAACCAAAGCCGAGTGAAGAAAATGTAACACGTATGTAGGCTTTTGCGACCAATATTTTAATAATTGATTTTTGGCTCGGGTCGATTGCATAAAATGCCAATGTGTGTGTCGTACGCTCTATCTAAGTGATTTTACCGAAGGAACCAAGAATATGAATTCCTGCAGTCACGAAAGTTTTAAGTCAAGGTTGTTCGTATCTTTTTGTATTTATAGCCATTTAAATATTCTAAAGTACGTGTTTTGGGTGAAAAAGGGTAACTTTCAATGCTATCGGAACTAATTAAGCCTTTAACGTGCATTTCCTATCCTGACTTAACGACCAAATCACTTGACGACCGGTTTCTTGGAACCAATTACCGTCGTTAAGAGGGGTGTTCTACTGTACTGAAAATATTTCGTATCATGTCATGGAAGTGATATACATCATAGCAGGTCACCACGTGGGACACGATGCATTAGGGTTTAAAGTGGTAAGATATTGCTTGCGGAAGTACGTTTTTAAGAGTAACTTATTTCAGCAGTAATTATATTGATTTATAAAGGAAAGTTGGTGTTTTATATATTTCTGCTCCTCATTTGTAATCAACGGGCACTCGGCATTGATTCATCGCAACCGCAGCAATTGAAATGAATTGCCACAATTTTGGTTTGAATTCGTGAATCGTTTCTCTCTTTGGACCAAACTGTGTCATCTCGTTGGTATTATTTTGCATTCTGTCTCGCCTGTAGATTTTTAGGCTACACTTTATGTTCGGTTATCATGTCCATAACATTCTCACGTATCGTAAGTAATTAAAATATCGCACGCCAGAAATCTGGGCATGTGTCCTGTGAGGTAATTTGTGAATCTGCATCGCTGCATTCCCATAATAGCCTGCCGCTCACTACTTTCGATCAGTCACGTGATTGTCTTACATTTCTGTTTTTATATTCGTGCCTTGGGTAACGGGAACTTTGTTCTTCTCTAAAACGTATTATTCTTGAGTGCACACGACCGCTTAACTTCTCGTTTCAGATTTTTATTTTCTCCTTGTTTCATCTTCTCTAAAAGTTTGTTCCCTGTGCGCCATCGGCGTCGGCTCATGAGATGAAGGATCTGTTCAGAGCGCTCGCAAAACCGTGTGCCACCTTGCGTGGTAGAGAACGGCCCACAGAATGAGATATGGCAGAACCTGTCTTGATTGCCTTTTCTGTTACTTTTTTTTGTTAATCCACAATCGAGAGCATTCTTTCCTCTCTGTACAGTCTGCTAAATATGAATGTTCGTCGTGTAGAAGTTGAACCGATATTTCTCATATTCAGAGCTGGAAATGATGAGCCAAATGGAGTGCAAAATCGATTTGAATGTGATGGTTTTATTTTGCAGCTAAAGGAAAACGTTTATTATTGGTAATGTTTTGGGCAATTGCCCTTAATTAGAATTGGCACTGTCCACAACACATGACGCTATTGCTCAGCAATGATGCAGCGCGTGCAGCAAGTAACGGACTTAATTTACATTTGGAACGGAGATCACCGGTAAATGTGTAAAAATGCAGGGCCGTCTGTGTAAGGAGCCGCGAGGACTGGAGTGTGAGAAACCTTACCCCTGCGCGCTGACGCTCGGCACATGTGCTGTGTGCGCGCGATATTCGACGCTGTGCTCCGCACGGCCAGATGGGTTTAGCCTGCGGAGTATAACACTGCATGTGAAGCTGCCCCAGAGACAAGTCCACGCGGAGCAGGGCATATGGTGTTTACGCTTTGCACTGGCTTGTGTGTGTGTATGGCTGATCTGCCTTGTTTATTGCACTGTGCATTGAGACAAGGTTTGCACTGCCGTGACCCTCTGCTCAATGTGAGGGTTTTCGCGGCAGCTTGCGTTTGAGATCTGTTTGGGTTGATGCGAGGGGAGAAGAGCGTGGTGTATTTGAGGCCCCCCTGGTGACTCGGTGAAGTGTTACGATGCAGTATAAGAATGGATTTTTTGTTGTTGTCTTGTTTGTAGTGTCTCATTTGAATTGTCCGTCTCGTAGGCTTAGTCTTGTTTGCTCTGTCACGTTCCTCTCGAAATAGCCACTCATGTCGTTGTGGAGAATATTCAGTGGCGAGTTATTACTGAGTGTAAAAACTGGCCCAAAACTTGTGAGTGTTGAACAGATGCTGCTGAAATGATGCACTCCCAGAAGGGTGTGTGTGTCTGATGAGATCTGTAAGAAAAAAACTTGTATTGTTTACGGAGGGACACATATGTAGAGTCGTAACATTAGCTTATTTTATTGTTAGCTCAAATAATAATTTGTATTTAATTTGTGTATCCTTTGTATGAATTGAAAATCTGACATTCTTGGACAGACAGACAATTCAATGCATGTATGTTGAGCATAAGAATGTATGTGAATTGATGATTTGTTCCATCCTTAGTGATGGACATGATGAAAGGTTTTCATTCTTGGTTTTGTCAAGTTATAATTCCCGATTTAATGTCTGACATTGTCAACAGGAAGTAAAAAATTCAAGTGGCGTTCGAGATCTATTTATGATCGTACCGATAAATACTATTTATATAATGTAATATTTTAAGTAGAATTTCTGCTGTATAACTTGATGTGTGGTTTTGCCTCGGGCAGTGTTGACATTTAATTTAAAACAATACTTATATATCGGAACCAATCCTGCCACCCCCACCCCCCTCCTCTTCATCTAGTAGTGGATTGACCAAATAAGCTCCATGATCCACACGGCATCATCCCCACAACTTGCTGGCCATGGGGTTTGTGGCCATACCTCCCCACACTTATTTAATATTTATAGAGCACCTTTGTTCGAGGTGCTGAACATAGTAACAAAAAAACGGTATAATAAATTAATGATTTAGACGGGAGCGGCATGCAAGGACCGTGATAGAGAGTGCGTAGGGGTTACGAAAGGGCAGGGGAGGGACGGGAATAAGTGGTCGGTGCGAGTTGGTGAAGGCGGTGAGGGAGAATGGACGTGGGCACTTAGAAGTACAGGCCATGAACAGATTTGGCAGGACTGCCCTTTGGCTGCCCACATGTTATCTCTGCAGCCGGCTCTATCAACCCGTTTACTGCGTGGCGGTCGCCAATCCAGGCGCTATCCAGGCTCAAACCTGCTCAGCTTCTGAGATCTGATGAGACGGGGTGCATTTTGGGGGATTAAATCGTAGGCCTAGCACATTTCCTCTTATGATGATCTTGACATTTTGCGTGCGAGCTTGCCGAACTTGTTGAACCGACCAATCGGAAACGGCACTTGCGCGGAATCGGTCCAAAAATAACATGTGGTGTTCGGCCAGGTGGACGGCATATTCATCGGGGCGCTGAGCAACACGGATGCCCTTGGTCTTCTTTGCTCCACGGGACGCACAGTATGCCTGTCTCTGGTGAAGAGTCGCGCGAGCGAGTGTGACGCAAGAGTCACACGAACATCCCCGACCTCCGCCGCGCCCGTCGCCACCTCTCCCGCTAAGCGGGGAACGCACACAGGCGACCAATCCTCTGTGGGTGAGCAGTGTTTCCTGGCTTTAAGAGCACACCGTAAATACCTGCAACGATGCACATTGACCTCCCCATCTGCTTTTATTGGGGTAACCCGCGCCGCCATCAGGAGGGTGTGCACGCCGCACAGCTGGGAGACACGGTAGACATAAATGTGAGAGTGCAGCGTTTGGAGTTGCCTGGGTGGCTCGGAGGTGAAGAGAGCACTGGGCTGCAACCGCGAACAATCCTGGGTTCGAAGCCATCCACGGCCACCTGTGATTAAACCAAACTCTATAGTGTTATTGAGTTAGCGGTCTCAGACTGGTCATCATTGACTGCAAAAACACAATCCGTTGCGTTTAATTTGGTTCCGCACTCAATTTGGCTCAATTCTAGCTGTACGAGTTTAAAAAAATGTGCATTTTACTGGGACAAACATGAGTGTAGGCGGCAGGGCGGGTGGGAAAGGGCTGCCCCCTATTGTGTGGACCAGAGGTCACATGTCGCGATCTCAGAGGTAGCTCTCTGATATCGCCTTCTCTGGCACATTCTTTAGCGCAGGCTGAAACAAGTACACAGCTTTCAGTCTGACGAGATTCCCATCGTTTTGTAAATAGTGCTCAGAAATAATTTTCTTATTTAATGACTGGAAATGTAATTCACGGGTTACCTTTCATTTCCTGCATAAGCCCACACTGCTCTCAGAAGTTCTGACTTGGCCAATGCAGTTATGGCGTTTAGCTGTCACTGTTTAGTTGTATTTGTACAACAAACGATTTGGTTGTGCTGTTTTATTTTAGACGAGTATATATCATCATCTGCAGGGCAAATTACGGAGGAGGAAGCGATGGCCTTGCTCCGGAGTTACGATTCAGACGCGCCGCAGAGCCAGCTCGCGCTCAACACCGAGGTAAGGGCCAATTTGTTGCTTTTTAGTATGTGCTGTATGTTGAACTTCTGTCGCACCGTACGTAGCCAACCATGCTAAGCGGAGGTTGCGGTGAAAGGTGAAAGGCCAACAAACTAAACACAAAAGACGCAGTTCTAAAGAAATTAGTTTTCAATCTAGATTTAAAAGCGCGTAGCTCCAGTGATTTCTTAATCAGTGATTGGTCGATTTGAAGAAGTCATTGTCGTTATCCATCGTCGATCTACTGCCAGATTGAAGTCTTCACCATCTCCCATGGCCCTGCGATGTCAAAATTCGTCTCGTACCGGCACACAAGCTGATTTCTTTGCACCTCCTCCACAGTGGATATGCCCTCTTGGACATTATCCATCCACTCCGTAATTTGTCGTGACCATTGGTCACCATTGGTGTGTCCTGCCCCAAGCCCACTTTACTTTTCTTAACTGTCGATATGCTGTTGTCTCAGCTGTATTCTCCAATATGTTTTTTGTTTCCTAATTTATGTGGTCCTTTTACTGTTGCTGAGTGCAATCCCAAGCATGCGCCTCTCCACACTTCTCTGTCCATTTTCTAGCTTTAACTCCGTTTTCTTTGTCAGTGACCCATCTTTCTAATTAATATAAAAATAGTGGGCACATGTGCACCAATGGGATCAGGAGTGGGTTGGATTGAGACATTGCAAGACGGTAACAGATGTATGCATGTTGAACTTCTTTCGCGCCGTACGTCGCCAACCGTGCTAATCGCTGTTGGAAGAGGTTTTGACAACAAACGAAACACAAACGCAGCTCTCAAGAAATTAGTTTTGAATCTAGATTTAAAAGTGCGTAGCCCCAGTGGCTTCCTAATATCGGAAGGAAGAACTTTCCAGACTGCAGCAGAAGCGCGTCTGAAAGTGCGCGATGCAGTGTCCGTCTTTGTTCGATGGCCAGCCAAAAGCCGCTGCTGTTAGGATGATTGTTGATGCTCCTTCCCGAGATTGTGGCTCTCATTTGTGGCAAGCACTTTGTGATGAAAGATGGTGACAGCCCGAGGAGGTGTTCTTCTGGAATTATTCAGACCATGACTAATGATGATGAATGTTCAGGGAATCGTTATTTCTGTAATGTACAATTGGTGACTTGCCCCCCAAGTCTTGCAGTCTCACCAGCTGGTACTCCTGTAGCTGACCCAAGACGGATGATGAGTTCAGTGGATCCCGGCCATGCTTTGAAAATGTGCCGTCGCGAAAACGATTGCTTTAAACACCACCCCTATATTGGATATGTAAAGCTTTTTTTGGTGAGTCCACTGCTGTATGAGGCCCTCCCCAAGTCATTTGGTTCGTGGGGGTTACTTTAACATACTTCACCGCTCTGGTCTCTTTTGATCAGTGGATGCGGGAAGCTCAGACGTGGGAGAGTATCGAAGCACAAATACGTTGGTCGATTTCTGCTGCCCAGAATGTAGCACAGCGCCACGGACGCTTAACGACAACCTGGCATGCGTAGTGGTCACCCAGCCAAGCGCGCTAACAAGGCTCAACTCCGCTCGGCTTCAGATCGGGTGCATTCTGGGTGTTTTTGTCATAGGTTACTGAACTATAATAATAAGAAAACTACAATAATAATCTTGCAGTGCATTCTGTAAAGTCCATTTCGTGGATCGTTGCTCATCTCGTGTTCCACTGTCACTGAAAAACCAAGCACCAAAAGTTGCGTGGAAAAACAATAAAATCATCATACACAACGAAGCACAGCAACGAATATTCAGTGCAGACTGTTCTTGTTAGTCTGTGTACGGCCTGCCCCGGCCAAATGGGTTTTGTATGCAAATCGAGTGTGGGTTAAGGGGCTGAACAGGAGAGCGGGGACGTTCGCAATTCCACCCATTGAGTTCCAGCTTTAATATCGTCTCAGCGTGGCGTACAATCGCCTGGAGAAAATCAGACCCCCCCCCCCCCCCATCCTCTCCCTGTGCCTTTGCCGACACATTGTCTGTAATTACGGCAGGGCAAAATTAAATATACTTTATTCCACTCGGCACTCGGCGCTTCTCTAGCTTCGGGCAGTCAGAGTTAATAATGACTGAAGCCCAAGACTAATGATTTAGGCCTAATGAGCTAAGCCCACGTGTGTAATTACAAAAAGATGGCAAGCGCCGCAATTGAGGAGAGGAAACATCCTTTTTGTTTAGTTTTTTCTTTCCCCCACCATCTCATCTGCACGTACCGCTTGGGGGGGGGGGGGGCAGCCACTTTACACGTTTCAAACGTGACTAACCAGCTCCTTAATCATTTTCTTTCGTTTATTTTTAACTGTTTGCAAGTGCACTCGTGCCCAAAGCCAAGCGCCGTCTTCCTTTTAGCCTGCAGAGTGTGCCGGGGAAATTGTGATTGGTTGAACGTCTCGTCGTTAATCCTTTTCCAGTTCCAAGACGTCTGCACGTTGCAGGGTGGGTGTCCCGTTCACCGCTGAATTTCTGAACGTGCAAGCAGTTAGCGTTTTATTTTATTTGGAGAGGTGTAGTGTCGCTGTTTTTAAAGACATTGTACATAATACAGGTTTTTTTGGGTTAGATCGCGTTAATATATGAATGTGTCGTTAAACCCGCCACCAGCCGACGCAGCCAATTGGTAAGGTTTGTCACGTAAACAGAACGTACCCAATTCGTCACTAGTCCAACACACCGGTAAGTTGGAGAGCCAAGCCACAACATTTACAATCTGAGTACGATGTTTTGGCAGTAATTACAACTAGCTTCATCAGGCGACAGCCAGATTAGTGACAACCGCAGCGACATGATCGCGCTCTATGACAGCTGGCTCCAAACTGTGCCACATGTCCCGCCGCATGGCCTTTTACTTCCGATCCCGGTGCGATGATGTACACCGACGCCATCGCAACTGGGAAAGGTTTAAGACCCCACAATGGCACAGGAGAGGGGATGGTGGTGGCCAACACCGCACGGTCACCTTTGTCTCCCCAATGCCGATATTGACCGAGAATAGTCAACACGCCTTTCCAACACACCATAGAGAAATTGCAAATATCCCATTGACATATCCTTCGTCTAAATCCAATGCTTCCAAAAGAGTTGGATGTATTTTAATGACCGATTGTGCCATTTTTAATGGTCGTGGTTTAACTGTGAAACAGAACTGTGGTTTATAATGCACTTAATAAAATTTGACCCAGAGACACGCATATAGTTTTAACTAAAACCAAATACAGCGTCATTCTTTGCCCAGGTTCCAATGTTAAGTGCAGCATCTTGAGATGTTGCTCCATTTCGACTTTGTGAATCCAAATTGTTGCCATAGCGGCGAACACAGCGCGCTTTGCAATTGGCAACGCTGAGCTCGATGACAGTGCAGGTGGCTGTAAAGAATACAAAGGGTGCATTAATGCAGGCTTACATGAAACGGCATTCGCTGGGGTTTGTGTAGTGCATCACAGGGCCAGCTTTCTAAGAAAGGGTCAAATGTTAAATTGCGACGAGCCAGCTCCGTCTAAGGCCATGAATCATGGGCTGCACAGTCTGCAATTTCGTTTGGATATATCTGCTGGTCCGTTGAGTTGATCCAGATGACCTCTGTGTACCGCTTCTCCCCGAGTTTCATGAATAGCAGCAGGAAAGTCAATGGGCAATTCCACTGCTCGTTTGACCACACTTCAGCTCAAGTTGCTCGTGAAAATTGCCCGCACCTCCGATTTGCACAGTTGGCTACATATGGTGTGAAAGAAGTTGAACACACATACGAAAATTTGACTATCTTTAATTTAACGCTTTCGTGACTGCAAGGATTCATCTCCCATAAATATGCTAAATTCCTCTTGATATGCAAATTATTTTGTCAAGGCGCTCTTCTTCCACCCCTCCAACCCAGCTTATATATACGCTCCAAGCTTGGTGGTGTTTCATTCTTCACCTGAGGACTGCTGCTTGCGTTGTGGCCGAAACATCGTGAGAATTATTTTATTATGTTTTATTTTTATTGTTTTATTGCTTCCCTTCTACGTGACTTTACCGAAAGAACCAAGAAGTTGACTATCTCTGTCGCTTGAGTTCTTTACCCTGGTTTAAACAAATAAACTTGACTCTGGTCAGTGCAGGTTGGTGAAGACCAGTTTGGATATCACTCTTTACCAACGTTAGCCGTGGCCGGATATCGAATGCGAATTACCTAGTGCATAGTACGGTGTGTTTACCGCTGCACCACCACTCCCCCTATAGTATGTTATTTGTTATATTAAAGTCCTAATCAACATCTTCCCTTGGCCAAACAAGTAATATGGCTTTTTCATTATTTAATTTTGATTGTGCTTTTGGCATCTTGGCATCAGACACGTCCAATTGCAGCTCTAAAAACGGGCACACCATTTATAAACCTTTTAAAGATTGATGTATGTCAATCAAACCTACATTCTAAATTGTTGTCGGTGGAATATGCCAAATGAAGTGAATAACTCACTTTTATTGCGGGTTCTTTGTGTGTACAGTCATTGATGGATAGGCTCAGGGTTTCTCACGGCTGCACTTGAAAGCTTAGTTCCATCATGTGTGGCTGTGTAACTTCGATGCAAACCAAGGATCTCAGCCTTGATGGCTGAGTACTCTTCACAGGGCCACTTCTCCACGGAATTCATAATAATTATTTGTGGACGTTTTAACATTCCCATGGTGGTGGAGACGAGTTTGTTTTTATGACAACTACTGCTAACTTTCCACCAAGTGGTATCTATTTGAGTGATGCTGGAGGGATAATAGGTTGAGTCAACCCCTGACTGGGGTGGAGTGGGACGGGGTGACATGGCCTAGCAGTAGCGCATTGGCCCCCTGTTGTTGAGGTTCACGGTTAAACTCCAGCGTCCGCCCTGATTATTACTGCGTGTGTAATCACCTTAATAGTATGCTGCTGCACAGTGGACGTTAAAGACTCCGTTAAGTCATTCGCAAGAGTAGGCCATTGTGTATCGGTGTCCTAGTCTAATTTACCTACAAAGTACCCATTTGTGGCATGATACGTCGCATTTATCGCCCCCCTACTGGCAGACGAATGCCCCAAGTCACTCTTGCAAATTAGACTATCCTAGTATGTTGATTTAAATATGTAAACTTGAACTTGAAACTTAAAACTTTGATTGTTAGTCGAGACATTGTACCACAGGACCACCTTGATGGATAACATATTAAATATTTTCCAGATTATAAGACTCTCCGGAAAATAACATGCACCCCAAAATGATACCCAATGTCAAAAGGATATACAAATCTGGTCTGGCATATACAACATGCACCTAACAGTATATAAGACCAACCCCCAAACTTTGCTTTAAAATACATGTGACAAAAATGTCTCTTCTAATCTGGAGAATACACTATCAGTGGGAGAGAAATAAAAATCAATTAATCTAAAACCAGTGCATCGATAGGCCGATCCAACATAAAAACCTCACTGGACCTCCTGCAGGCACGATGCAGCTAAATCCAGCCGTTCCTGTCAATCGCGCAAATGATTCACATCCGTTACTACGTGTGCATCTATGGGAATAGCGACCTGACACGCGTCATCGTTACAGTGCGCGTCAGCGGGAGGCCCCGTAGCACCGAGTGATGCGTGCCGTGAAAGCTTCTTAGGCATTAAGCGGGTGGCGCCACTCTTGAACCGCGAGGCCACGGATTATAACCATGCCTCGTCCGCACGGGATTGTGGCTTGGAAGCTGATTATTTCACCGGCGTGCCACTCGTACCGAAGAGCCTACGGTTGCAGGTGTGTGCAAAGTAGAGGAAAGGGTTACACATCAGCCAAATATACATTTCTCCTGATGCTGATTGAACGTTTGTAATGTATCTGGGAGAAAAAGCACAAAAACAGTTAGAGAATATAATAATAGCAGTAATACAATTTACGTTCTTCTGGACAAAACTAAATAAGTTGCCACTGATCTAATCTAATATAGCACGTTAAGACCACCTTGGCCTGACAAATGATGCAATCAATTTCCTTTAGCCAGGACTATTGATTTAGATTTATATATTTATTAACTCGTTCCACCAGGCGCAATTAGTGTTTTCAAGCTCTGGCCTTGCCTGCAAAGAGCGCATTCAAAACGGTCATACACCTGGAAATCACAGACTTTTGGATTCACCAATTAAATAACCTAACCCAATCCATCCGCTCTTAGAGCCAGTGGAGCCATTGCAACATGTTCAGTGGCATCACATGAAAAGCCATCGTGTGCGCCAGGCCTTGCTGCTCATCTGCTTGCTCTATAACATTTTATAGATAGATGCTTACTCAAACCCATTGCCATCTCACGCAGACCTACGGTGCCACAATTTGTTTAACTCCTTGCATTCGAGTGGTTTTCATCGTTCCACCGAATTGGTGGACACGGTCGCACACTTAACACCTGTATTTAAACCACAAGAGGTTAAATCTTTTTTTTTATCATTCAATATAGTCTCAAACTGTTCATGTGTGAATGTAAATTTGTCAAAGCAACGATGCATCGCTCTGTGAGGTGCATTCTCCATCTGTAAGAAAGGCAAACGAGCTGCCATCTCTTGCTCTGAAGATGGGTAACCGTCTTAAACATTTGGCTTATTTGTTTCTGTTTATGAGGCTGTGTTCACGACACCGGTTTATTTGATGATAAATAAGACGTTTATTTATTGAGCCATCCACCATCGGTGGGACTTTTCAATGTCATAGAGATTGGAAAATCCATTTTGTTTGTTAAATTAAAGCAGTGGAGTAGAGGGGGGGCCGCACTTTGCACACTATACGATGAGCTTGGCAACGTGAGTTTGATTCCTGGCCATGGTGAGTGATATCTAAACCAGTCGTGGGCCCCCCACCCTCCTTCACTCGCACAAGCGTGGTCAAGTATGGTCAAGCAACCCCCACGACTCTTTGGTTCTTTCGGTAAAGTCACGTAGGTGAAAATAATTCTAGATTTGAAGCTTTCATGACTGCAAGGATTCATATTCTTAGGTTTTTTCGGTAAAGTCACGTAGGTGAATTTTTCTTAAAAATTAATAAAAGTAAAATTAAAATAAAATTAAAATTACGACGTTTCGGAAGCAACACAAGCCTCCGTCTTCAGGTGGAACAGTCACAGCACGATAGCTTTTATTAATTTTCAAATTAAATAAATTTAAAATAACTAAATCTCGACGTTTCACCTGATGACGGAAGCTTGTGTTGCCTCTGAAAGGTCGTGATTTAGTTAATTTTTATTTTATTTTCACCTACGTGACTTTACCGAAAGAACCAAAGAGTATGGATCCTTGCAGTCACGAAAACTTCAAATCTAGAATTAGAACCCCCAAGACAGACTAGATCTGGGGAGGTCTTGAACACATCAGTGGTTTTACTAAGGGGCTGTAAATGAGTAATAAGTAATTAATATACTGAACTCTACGTATGGTAAATGACACTTGATACAACACTGTACAGACATGCTGGGGTTGTAAAGCACGTAGTCTTCTGCACGAAATATTTTTCATATCCACTGAACCGAAATGGCATCCGAAAATAATGGAACTAATCTGCTTTCCATTAACATTCAGCTGAATGGACTGCCACATGAATCGTGTATTGTAATCGTATATTGACTTTATCGGATATTTGAAATGGCAGTGCACATGGAATTCTAAGATGAACTCTTCATTGCTTAGCGGGGAATTGTGAGCCACAGCTTTATTATTTATATTATGATTCACGGTTTCGTATTTGACCTTCGGGTTGATGAACGTCGAGATAATTTCACCCAGTAAACGGCGTATTCCCATGTGAATGACATATTGCCCGTAATTAACGCATTGAATAGGTGTCACTCTGCGTGTGTTTTACATTGGGGGGGCAAAGCCGTGATTCGTTTATAAGTGGGCGCTGAGCGATTAGCACACCTCCGCGAGGCGCCACGCTGACGAGATGTTAACTACCTCACCGGGGATACAGGAGGTCGTGAATTCAATTCCTACCTTTTATGTCTATATATTTGGAGTTTGCATGGTCCTCCCAGTGGTCGCGTGGATTTTTCGTTTTTTTTCCCTCCACTTTTAGCAACATGCGTTTAAGAGTTTTTGGCTGCTCTCCATTTCCACGTGATAAGCCACTTCTTTTGAGCTTTACTTTGGTGCCAGATCACTTCTGAACAAGATAAATGTAGCTCAGTGGGCCTTACCTGGTAAAATTAAATTGTATCGTAGTATATTTCGGCAGACCTGCTTAGATCCCGAGTCTCACACGTCACGTTAAAGGAGCAATGAATCCAATTTGCGTTTCGCCGTTGTGCATTTTACATTCCTGTGACCAATGCGACTGGAATTTGGAAGCTATTCAGGCCTGAGCCTGGATATTGTTTGGATGGGCGACCACCATCCATATGAGGTGTTATATAGGTGTTGTGTGATGTGTGGCAGATGGCACCGAATCAAAATCTGTTGTCGTACTTTTCCTATATGTTCCCACATCCATGCACAGCCAGGAAGCGACCCCAGTTTGATTCCTGGCTGTGACTGAGAATCACTGGTGAGCAATATTTCCACTGTTACCAAACAGCATTGACCAACGCGGTGAAATATGGTCAAATAACCCCCACGATCCGCACGATGCAGGTAGACCCTCATCCAGCGGTGGATTGACAGGGGGCGGCACATGTACACCTGGTACGGTGCGTCATCAACATTGAGGACGTGGAAGTGGTCCGCACCTACGTAACGCTGGTGTGCTTGTGCGTAACAGGTGCTCGCTAACAGTGCTGGCACCAACGGTCTTATCAGACTAAATGGGGCGATGTCTTCTCGTCGTTGTGTGTCGTGTGTGATGAAGGCTGATCCACTGGGGCCCGAGGTGCTCGTGGATGAACAGGAGACGACCGTGGTGGAAACTCGGGGAGCTGATGCTGCTGCCACACCTCCACCGGTACTCCCCGTTTGCCCCTGTGTACATTTCACCCGAATACATAAATACATGCACGGGGGTGATGCTGCCACCGTTGCAACGGTCTGCACGCTGTACTTGAAATCCAGAGGTCACAGCTTCGATTTGGTCTCTCAGTGCGGCAGTTAAAACAGGAGGGCCAGTTTTTACCCCTCTACCTTTCCTATACTTTGCACTGCGATGCAGTTTTTCTGTTGTTTGTTGTTGTAACGTTCTAACCCACCCCTACTGGACATCTGTGGAAAAGAGCTTTATGGTTCATTGGATTCCTCCTGCAGTATAAATAAATATGCTGATTCTTAAATAACCCTCCCCCCCCATCTCTGTTCACCCTCCAGTTTATTTGGGTTCACCGCAATTGTTCAATCGGCGTGGGTCCTCGTGTTTTTTTTTTCAAAACATATGGCCAGCGTGGAAGAGTAGGCCATGAATACCCACGAAGAGGGGCTGTCTTGAGAGCTCCCTGCAGTGGAGGCCAATCCGCCAGCAGTGGCATGAGCAAGCAATTGCAGGGCTGCGTCTTTACCCGTTTACCCTTTTTACATAAATTGTATATGTCGTCGTCATCAGCAGTAATTGACTTGTAAAGGTTACCATCATATTGGATCTTCCCTCTGGCACAGGATCTCGGAGCGCATTCGTTCATTCAAGAATAAATTAGGTTTTTAAAATGAAAGGTAACGATGCAAAAATGCAATTTACAATCGAGCTAATCCATCACCGTATTAATCTTGACAGATCAGTTTAAAATCCGAAGAGGACTTCAACTATGAAGTGTAACATATGGATGATTAAAGTAAAGAGGAATATTTGGCCTTTACGTATACTATTGTAAGAATGGCCAAATTAAAGAAATGGGTCTTCAAATTAATACAGGAAATGCATATATTAAAATGTATCACGTAAGGAGTGACTCATTATAGCATGTATTTAATTCATCATCTTCAGCCATGCTCAATTCACTCCTGATTAAAGGCCTACCCAACCTGTTACTATCTCTCACGGTCCTTTTTTGCGACAATCTGTCTGGCATCTGTGCCACGAGCTGATATTATCGCTCCATCTCTTAGGTTGGCGTCCTCTCGGCTGTTAGTCTCGACCAAACACCTTCATCCCTTCCAGCACCATGTCCTGCCCAAGTCCACTTTTCTTAACAGTAAACACGTTTTCTCTAACTTCTGCAGGCTGTCTAATCCACTTGCCCCTCGTTTCAGTGTCATTTTAAACATGCACCTCTCCATGCGTCTAGTTGCCGAGGTATCTCATGGTTCATTTCAAGCCGTGTGTGACAGCTCCGATTAGCACGGTTGGCTACGCACGGTGCGAAATAAGTTCTACATACATACATACTTTTTAATACTCCAGGAGACTTGAACCCATGTGGCTTACGAGTTATAAGCTCGCTTAAATCTTCTGGGAATCCAGACATTCGTGGCCTGAATTAGAGCGTATTGCAGATGAGCAAGCGTCACTAAACCAAGTCCTTGGCAAGCAATCGCATTGTTGTGCTGCGTTAAATCACATGTCATTGATATCAAGTCTACCAGTTACACCTCCGATTGAATTTGCGTAAGACGAGAGATTGATTCCTTCGTGTGATGTCGCCGAGTGGCTTGCGAGCTTTTCAGCCAAATCCTGTACTACGTCCGAACGTGCGCTTGCAAAAGTTGCCCATCCGCACGTGTGACAAGGCCTTGGTTCACAGCATCTCGGACAAGAGAAAAATCTTCGGTTTCAGGCTGGCATCGTTAAGTGCAACGGCGCGTTGGTTAAACATTTTAAATTATGGCATGTTAGCGGAGCCATCTGCTGGCTACTGCATGTGATGGGTTTATTTTTGCGACACCTTCGCGTATTTATTTACTGTAAAATAAGTTACGTCAATGAAGAACCTTTTTTTGCTTGAGCTAAAAATATTTTTTTGAGCTCATCGGCCATGATTTGGATGCCGGTCTAAAAATATTTAGCTTCAGGCTTCCAGACACAGGGTGGATAATTAGTCAACTACCATTGTCAGATGTTATCAAATTAAATACTTATGATTAATATGGCCATTATTTCGATTAAATATTACTCTCAAAATTCCTTTTCAGGAAGGTTTTAGATGTGTGAGGGTCTTATCTTGCTAATTTAATATCGAGTATTCTTGCCTTCGGGAGGAAGCGGCCATATCCGAAGAAATACCACATACACACACATATAGAGTGGGGTGGAGTGGTGGCGTAGTTGTTGTTGCAAGTTGGTCACCATGCTCGATTTCCAGCCATGGCTTACACCAGTGGTGAGTGATATCAAACTGAACTGTCAGTATGTGTATTTATAAGCATTATAGATTGTAAAATGGCAATGATTAAATAGCTTATGTTTAAGTGAAATAAAAAAAAAACTAGTAAGTGATCGTTATATGGACTGGAAGTACAGCGTAACACAAAAACAATACAATTGTGAAATACAATGATGATATTTTGGGAAACTGATTACGCAATAATCGCCTCACTAGTTCATGAAGCCTGTCCTTTGCCAGGCTAAAGTTTTCAATAAATATATGATTTTTTTTACAATTTTGTATCTACGATCAAACACTAATAACTACTCAAAAAATGTGTATTTTTCCACAAATTTTATGGGGCACTTAATATCGAGATTTGGGGACCTTAAAATAAAATATCTCGGATTTTCAGATTTTTCCTGTTGTTTGTGTCCTAAAAGCTACCGATGTACCACATTTCTATTTCTAACTCGTCGGGAAGTACTCTCGAGGTTTTTGAGACATACAGATTAAGGTCTTTATTTATATAGATGGTGATAAAATATTATCCTGGCAACCATGGCACTCCCCAGATCGTTCCAGACAAACAAATGGAAATCCTCAAATGTATGTGTACCTATACTCGTTGGTTCTTTCGGTAAAGTCACGTAGTTAGAAATAAAATAAAATGAAACAAATCACGACGTTTCGATCGAAACAAATCACGACGTTTCAAATCACGACGTTTCAATTGACCTTCATAGATGCTTGCTAACAGCACTTGCCCCAACAGTCTGTTCAGGCTATACAGGGGATCTTTGTCTTTATGTATGTGTGTGCACGCATTGAGGAGTTGTAGTATAGCAATTAGCGCGCTCCACTACGAACTAGGTGATCTTAGTTCGATTCCCACTCACGGCTATACCACCAGTGATGATTATTTGAACCAGTACTGGGTCTCCCCTAGGTCGACTCAGCCTTAAACGCAGTCGGGCGCAGTGCTGGCCACCCCCCACCTTAGATACCGTGCCGGCCTTCATAGGTGCTACTCGCTCACAGCACTTGTCCCAAATTTTTCTTACTTGATACAGCTATCGTGTTGTGATGGTTCCACCTGAAGACGGAGGCTTGTGTTGCCTCCGAAACGTCGTGATTTTTATTTTATTTTCATTTTACTTTTATTAATTAAATTTTTTTTACCTACGTGACTTTACCGAAAAAACCTAAGAATACTTGTCCCAAAAGTCTGTGAAGGCTATATGGAAGATCTTTGTCTTTTGTGCAGCCAGTGGAACTATCGGCGGACGAGCCGCACCTTCGCAAGAACGAGCCCCTCCTCACCTGGACCGCCTACGGGGTGGTCGCCAGGGTCACGACGCAGGCCAGCGGCGGCAACCAATCGGCGGGGTTGGTGACGGGACCGGGGCAGGAAGTGGGCGGGGCCGAGGTGGAGATGCCCGTCGATGACGACGACGACGACTCCATGGAACCGGCGATCTACGACAGAACGCAGAGCCTCATCCCCCAGTTTGCAGGTTCTTAGTGGCGGCTTTTGCAATGATTTTCTAGAAATATATATAATGCTTCCCAACTAAAGTTGAGAGTGTTTATGTGTTCGCTCTGTCCATCTGTCCATTTGTAATTCCATACCGTAGGGGCACTATAACTCTGGTAAAGATGATCCGGTATGAAACAGCCTCTAGAAAGGTCTCTGAGCGTCATTATTTTTGCTCTTGGGGGGGGGGGGGACCCCCTGATGGCAGCGTGGCGCGGGTGCGGCACACGGTGACTCGGCGTCGGCCTGCACGTGGACATTCGTCTGCCAGTCGAGGGCGACGATTACTTCGTAACTTGCTCACGCGCCCCCGCCTGGACATCTGTGAAAAGAGCTTCATAGCGCATCGGATTCCTCCTGCAATAGGAACAAATATTCTGATTCCGACTGTGTAATCCCAATCGAGTATTTAAGTAATTTAGTGTTTGTTTTCGAATTTAATCCACCAACCGTACCTCCGAGGTGTTGAGATAAACGTGTGTGCGCCACCGCGCCCGGCGGTTGTATTGGAGGCAGGTTCACTGTAGGCACCGCGCTTCCGTGTCTCCGTGCGTCCGCAGAGCGCCGGGTGCGTGCGCGCGATAATCACGAAGGGATGCCGGGGGCTCCACAACCCCGGAGGCCGGCGGCCGTGTCACGGACGGAGGACGGCACATCCAGCGACGAGGAGGTCAACCTGGACGACTTCCTGAGCCGAGCGAGGAGCTCGCAGGTCCGCCCGCGATCGCTTTCGGATTGCAGGGCTCACGTGCATGCACGGCCCGAGTGATTTGACGCAGTGTTTTACAATCCTTCAGACCTATGTTAAACTCCTGGTTATGATCCACAACTGCAGAGCCAGCTGATATCTGTAGCCAACTTGGACCTCTGTTAGGGTGACTCGGCCTACAATGAGTACCTATTGCAGTCTGTCAATGTAATCGAGCGGGCGAGTGAAAGCTTCTGTGTGTCTGTGGGCATCTGTAATTATCAGCACACTGCTTTCATTTTTTGGTTTAGTTCCAGATCACAACATCTGTGGCTTGTAGTATCTATACCTGTCATGGGCCTTCTCTAGCCTTAAATATGTACATGGTACATTATCAGCAGTAAGACAGGGAGACAGTGGCAATTGGGTATTTTTTGCTGCTCATACCATGCTCTCGTGTGCCATGCTCGCTTTGATAGGTGTTCACGAACAGCAATTTACTCCTGCAGCCTATAGGGTTAAAATGTGTTAAGGGTGGATGCAGAGCACAGTAAAACGAACATAATAATAGGGGTTTTCCCCTTTTTTTCTGGCAACAAAACTGAAACCTTTTTACAAGGATTCATGTCTGCATTAACCACAATACTTGCAGTCAAAATGCAAACAAAAAACATACTATGATAATCTATTATATTATGGTACTGGCAAAGGAGGTCTAATGAAGAACAACGAATGTTTGTCAGTCCACTCGTGGATTTAAACCAGCCCGGACCATGGGGTGCAGCAGTGGGGAGATGTTAACTACCTCGCTTTATATACAGGAGGTCGTGAGTTCGATCCCTACCCCGACGCCTGCTGTATGTTTGGAACATCTAAAAACATGCTTTTGCAGTATTTGGTCGCTGTACATTTCCACTTGGTAAGCCACTTCGTTCAGCTATCATGTATGGCCAGGTTGCTTCTGAAAAAGAGCGACATAGCTGAGTGGGCATTACCTGGTATTATAATTGTTTAGTTTTAATGTCTGTCACGATGCTTGCTTGGCCAAACTTCACGCTGGTCAGGGTGGGTTGGCGGCGTGGTGGGTAACCAGGATCGGTTCAGATATTACTCGCCTCTGATGTTAGCTGTGGCCAGGAATTGAACTCGGGTTGATGAGCTACAGTCTTCTTCTTGGTTCTTTCGGTGAAGTCACGTAGAAGGGAAATAATAAAATAAAAAATTAAACATAATAAAATAATTCTCACGACGTTTCGGCCACAACGCAAGCAGCCGTCCTCAGGTGAAGAACAGGTCTGTCGGAAAGACAGCGTCTGAATGGGCACCACCAGGCTTGGCAGCGTATATTTAAGCTGGGTTGGAGGGGGGAACAGACCTGTTCTTCACCTGAGGATGGCTGCTTGCGTTGTGGCCGAAACGTCGTGAGAATTATTTTATTATGTTTTATTTTTTTTATTTTATTACTTCCCTTCTACGTGACTTTACCGAAAGAACCAAGAAGATGAATCCCTGCAGTCACGAAAGCTTTAAATCGAGAGCTACAGTCTATGAATATATCATGGGACCTTTTTGCCAGTATCAAAGTATGAAAAATAAGAATAGTTTTTCCTATTTCTTGCAATAAAATAGGTGTTAAGATGTTCAAATAGAAACCTGTTACAAGGAATCAAGTCTGCATTAATCACACGTACTTGTGGTAAACATGCAAACAAACATGCTCTGATAATTTTCAGTTTCATTTATTTGGTATAGCCCTGTGAGCCATTCGGCTCTTGAATCGGTTGCAACCGCAGCAAACAAAAAACAAAAACATGAACAAGAAAACATCTTAAAGTGACTATGTGACTATGCGCAAACAGAAAAATCCAGGAAAAACTCCAAAGTCTTCCAGAAAAAAAAAATAATATGCATTGTCTTTGAAACTGATTGGCCTTGACCAGAGACAGCCTTCTTCATGGCCTACTCTCACCAGTGTTAGAACAGAGAACAACGCATATATACTTATCAGAGCATGTCTGTTTGCATGCATGTTCACCACACGCATGTGTGGTTAATGCAATACAAGAATATATGAATCAAACTAATAATCTAATGTTGAATAAATCTGATGTCCTCAAACAAGTTGCACTGTTGAGACGACAGTTGTGGGCTGTGTGTGTAGTGCTGGCCCCACCACCCCATTGTGTTTCTAGTCTCAAAACGTGCCCGCTAAGAGTGCTAGCTCCCCCATCCCACGTAGGCTAATGTGTGGATATTCATCTTTGCCTCTGTGTGTTAGCGGTGAGTTGCTGTGCGCGTCGCAACACTGGGTCTAATTATCCCCAGTGGGACAAAGGAAGGGGTGTCGTACAAAGCCTTGCTGCCGTGTTTCCCTCCGCACGTTGTCTCGTAGGAGGATTCTGTGGATGGAAGTGGTGCTGTGAAATTTACAGCCGGTGCCAGTCACAGCCCTCCCCACAGGAGCCCCCAGCAGCTTGGTATGTCCACACACAGCCTGCCTGCTTCATTGCACGACCGATACATTTGAACAATTTTTTTTATTTTGCCAGGTAAGGCCCACAATGAGCTATTTAGCTCTTTTTCAGAAGTGACCTGGCCACAAATGATAGCTTATCACGTGGAAATGTATTGCAGCCAAATACTCGAAACGCATGTTTTTGAAATGTGGAGGGAAAACTGAAGGGCCCGGAGAAAAATTCACAAGACCACAGGGAGAGAGACACGCAAACTCCAAATATACAGCAGGCGGCAGGGTCTGGATCGAACCCACAACTTCCTGCATAACAGGCGAGGCAGTTAACATCTCGCCACCGCAGGACCCTTATATATAAAATCTAAATCCCCCTTCATGGTGGCAAACGCATGGAGCACGCGCCAGCCACCCCTTGCCCCGCCACTGTTCCATGAGTGCGAGTGGATGTACAAGGGTGGAGTGGCTAGAGCACTGCACTATATGAACGCGTTGGGCCGAGTTTGATTCCCAGCCACAGATAACATCGTGGCCTATATTTGAACTTGTCTTGGGCCTCCCCCTAGGTCAACTCGGCCTTAAATGAGTACCTGGTGCTGCGTGTGAATATTAGCACAAGGGAGACAAAGGGGACTAAGCGTGATGCTGGCTACTTACCCCCTCGTATGCTGTGCCGGCCTTCATAGGTGTTCACTAACGACACTTGCCCCAACAGTATGTAACAGCCTACGTGGGGAATCTTATGTCTTTGAGCAAGGGCCAGATTGTTCATCATGCATCGTATTGATTGAAGTGATGTTGAGGATAATTTTCAGTGGATAGTTGAGCCTCCGAAAAATGATGCAGATCCTGAAAATAGGTTTGCTAATGTGAAATTGATCTTTTCCTGTGTATAATGCGTATCCATTATGAATGAATAAATGAAACTGGAAGGGCATTGGATCAATTAAATTCCATAATGGATGTTATATCAGAGCACTTCTGCTGTCATATGGTAGTGATATAGATTCTCATAATTTAAAATTCCCACGTTAAATGCAATACAATTGAGCATAATGCAATCAATGCGTAGTTATGTATTTATTAATCCTATATGTTTAAGTAGAAGCATTGGTGGTTTTGGCACATTTTTTTTTATATTAACCATAAGTGTAGTCCCACAAATTAGGCATCCTGACATGTGTCATTTCCTAATAAGACATGAGGTGCGATTTTGATGGGAATTATAGTTTTGGAAAATGTGGTTTATTTATGGGTCAAATCAATGGGTTGGCACCACCACCAACATCACAGTATGGATGGTAATCTACAGTTTCTTTGCGTACATCTGACACCGCATTATATTACAATTATTTTTTCCTTACCGAGAAAGGAGGACACATTCCATCTGAATTACAGCCCCAATTGATTGACTTGATTTGCCCAAGAGAAAAAAAAGTCACTTTATAATCATACTATTGGTGTCAGAAATGTTACTTCAAAATCATGGAACTGCCCTTGATGATAGTGACTACATTATAAGGTGCAACGTTAAGTAGAAATATCAATCCAGGAAAATAATATATACTTGAGAAACGTTTTGAAGTTGAGCCCTCTTGAAGTTTGACAGCAGCCCTTTTTGAAAACGTAAATCTGGGTTTCTAAGTCAAACGCCTTTCATTTTTACATTCAGTGCTCCAGATCATCTGCATATTGGAGCGTTTTACACGTTAACACATTCGAATTACGTACGACATTTAAATGGAATGAGTAATAATAATACGCATGGCAGTTGTGCTGCTAAGCTTGGGTCCGCGTGACAGAAAGAAAAACTGAGCCACTTGCGGTGAATGTGCCGGTCATGTGATCCGTGGAGTCTGTGACGGGGTGTTCCGTATTGTGTACTGCTACACCACAGCGTAGTATTAGGTTATTTTGCATTACAAATAAAATGTATTTTTCATATGTTTGTAAAGTGAACACATTTGTGAAATATTCTCAGTCAGAAACTTTCAGCTTTGCAAGACCAGATGTTTGGACAATAATACAAAGTTTATTTTTGCATACAGTAAAACCTTGGATTGCGAGCATAATTCGTTCCCGAAACGTGTTTGTAATCCAAAGCACTCGTATATCAGTTGTGATCACGTGACGCTCGGCAGACAAAGCGTATACACGTACTACTCGTATTGCAAGAGCTCGCTCGTTTATCAAATTAATATTCATTTAAAAAATTTGCTTGTCTTGCAAAACACTCGCAGACCAAGTTGCTCGCAATCCAAGGTTTTACTGTAGTTGTATAAAGTAACATTGCAGTTACAGTGGGAGGCTCTAGATAATACATATCCCATGGGTTAGCATTAAAAATTGTATAGTGGTTATGGAATTTTGGGAATTTACTCATCACTTGCATTTACCCCCGCTCAAGAAGAGAAACGCTCAAAGCACTTGTCAATAATAGCCCTGCCCTAAAAATATCATGACAGGAACAGTTCGGGAAATAGCTCTTAATTATAGCAAAGAGATTGGGAAGAGCCATTTCCTGAAACATTGCCTATTTCATACATACGTTTTACTTTTTGGGCAAAATTTTTCGTGATTTAATATGTTGCGTTTTTGTTATTTGTGCTGTTGCACCACTGCCGACCGCAGTACCACAGACAGTGAAGAACAGGTTCACTGAAGGTTTTAAATGTTTTTTTTGGAAATGAAAGGAACATCTTGACATTTCAGTTGCACTGACCCCCACTCTGTTTTTGATAACCGACCTTCTCTAGTAATTGTTGGTTAAAGAAGGCCATGTGCTCAAAACATCGATATCTGAATTCCCTCTTAAGTAGCAGTGAAATACCCGATTATTTTTAATTTACCCATTTAGTGTCTACGTTATCACACTTGTGCGCGTGCGGTGCCTGATGACTCCTTATTGTTTTTGGCTCTGAATTTCTTTTTTTAAAGCTATCACTGATAGGAAGGCATGAAGGTAAGGCCGAGAGCTAATAATTGGATTGGCGGTGTGGCTTTATTAAAACAGAATTAATGGCTGTTCAAATAAATTGCTTGAAATGTTGGCACCTCATTTTTCAATACGTAATCTGGAAGTTAATATCGTGAGGATTAATGAGTATCTGTTTCTTGTGTTGTTGCTCTTTTATAAGTTCAGGCTCCGCAAGAAAAGTGGAAGGCGGGCACGCACGGCAATTTCAGTACAGGTAAAGAGGTGAAAAGCCATCGGTGTGACGCGAGACGCACTGATTAACGGCGATTGAGCAAGCGTGCACATTGATCATGGTTGTGCTTGCGTAACTAATTCACGAAACACTAATTTTTCTAATGCGGAGCATCAGCTTTAGGAAATCGTCATCGTTTCTGCGCATGGGTCATTACGGTAGGGGGCGGTTGACCATACTTCACTACACCGGTCAGTGCCGGTTGGTAAAGGAAACTCATTCTGTCTCCATTATACAGGTTTTTGGGTTGGCTCGCGTAAATATGAATGCGTCGTTAAACCCGCCACCACCCACCACAGCCAATTAGTAAGGTTTGTCACGTAAACAAAACATGCCACTTGCTTACTAGTACAGCACACCGGTGTGTTGGAGAGTAAACGCACAACATTTACAATTCGAGTACGATGTTTCGCCAGTATTTACAACTAGCAACATCAGGCGACAGATGGGATTTGTGGATAAATCCTCCTGTTTCTGTCTTAAATAGAGGGATAAATGTGATGTCGTCACCTGTGAGCCATTCATTCCATCTCGCCTCTCACCGAGTACCTGAATGCTCTTGGTGCCCCTATTTTCTACTTCAGCTATTCAGCTCTGATAGGCATTCGAGCCTCTTCAGGTTGGCGAGGCAGTGCTCGTTTGAAGAGCAGTAGAGAATAATTTCTATAATGTGTAAGTGTGGGACACCATCACGGTGTAACGGTGAGCACACTGGATTTGGTGTTGCCGGTTTGATCTCCCGGAGTGGCAGCTGAAACAATGTGGAAGTTTACTGAATCCCAACCCCTGCCTCGGTCCACCCAGCAGGAGAAATGGGTATTAGCATAGTTCATCAATAGGTCACAATTGGTGGGGTAAATTGTTGGTATTTCCACCCCTTCTAAGATGTCTGGCCAGTGTGGAAAAAGAGTAGACAATTTTTACCCTCTTAGAATGGTTCTCTAGAGCTCCCTCTAGTGCAGACCATTCTGCCAGCAGTGGCGTGAGCGAGCAGTTGCAGGGCTGCACCTTTGCCTTCTGTATACATTTTAAACGGGAGTAGTCAAGGATTGATGTTTTTGGTGATTACAAATTCAGTTTGCATATCCACAGAGGTGAAATTTGCACAGCCAAATGTGGTTAAAGCCTGGTTTCCAAGTGTGGTGGTTTCAGAAAAGTCACCAGTAAGCACATAAATACCATCGTGTGGTTTAATTCATTACATTCAAACTTTGTATGCATTCCCTGCAGCTGCCCAATAATTTGCAGAAATTGCAAGTGTAAAGTGAAGCTTGAATACTGTTTTACATTTGTGCGGATGGGTCAAATCCAGTTTTTATTTCTTACATTCCATAAAGCAGAGTTGGTGATTTACTCGTTTTAAAGTCCAGTTGTTTGTGTAAGCAAAGTGGATTTATGTGTCTCTAAATGTGTATGTTTTAATGCAACCGGTTCTCAAACCTTCAAAGAAAATATATATTAATGTCAATATTTGTCTCACTAGCCTAATTGGGCTAATTTTGAAGCCTTCTAACCATAACAACAAGTAGTGCTATGATGTTGATTGCTTTATGAAAAATTAAATATAATGACGTTTAAAACTTTTTATATCTTATTTGCTAATATCTGGTTTATAGCATTGTATGAGCATAGAGATTGTTTGCATAAAATGCATAAAAATGCAATAGTGTACAAAGTACAGTGTATATATATATATATATGCTCTGAAATCTTTAATATAAGCATTGTTCTGAATCACTCTCATATGATGGAGATTTTCTTAAAGGAACAGCTGATTACATTGGTTTTGCACTACAGTGATAACAATGACAATGATATCCACATCCTGCCGATGACAATGACACCACATTTGCAAAGTGCTGCTGAATGTAACCTATTGCACTGCTGGCCCCCATGGTCGGCTGTAAATTTATAGCCAACGTCCATTCGTCGTCTGCTATTGCCTGCCTTCCCCACCCTCCTCACAACCCCCTTCCACCACGGTGCTTACGACAAACACGCGTTTTTTTCTCTCTCTTCGGCTTTCAAAGCAACTGGATTTTGCTGCCGCCTGTTATTACGCATCAGCCAAGCATGAGCGGGGGCTGGCTTTTGTCGGTTAAGGGGGAACGCACTGTTAAAACGCGGATTCCGGATCGTTTGGGAAACCGAGATATTTTTTGTTAACGTTTAATTTGATGCTAATTATATATTTTTTTGTAGGGGGGAAAAAAATAAATAAACGTTGGAAAGGCGCTGACGATGTCGTGTCGATTGTTGTTGGTGCGCTCCTGTCGTTGTTATTTAATGGTCGACTTTGGGGAGGGGAAACGCCGTGTCTACGGGCGCGCGAGCGAACGGTCCGCTCACGTGTCCTTCCCCCTGCCGGGTGAGCGAAAGGTTGCGTGCGTTGTTCAGGGGCCCCGTGACTCGAGCGCTGACGAGTCGTGCGTGGGCGGCCTACGCGTCTGCGTGCGTGCGTGCGTGCGCGTGCACCCACGCGTGCGTGTGTGTGTGTGTGACGATCGTGCGCTCGCCCGGCTATTTCTATCCGTCATAAATTGCCGTTCGTTCCACGTTTATCGGTTGAATTATTTGCATTTTGCGTGGTTACTTATTATTAAAGCGTTTTTTTTGTTTTGTTTGTGGTGGTGGTGGTGGTCTTTGTTTATTCCACATGTCTACCTTTTTGGATGCTATTCCTCTCCTACCGTCCCCCCCTCCCCAGCCTTGCTCTACGATCCCTTTTATACGTTGTGGTTTGGACCGCCAGCTCGAACACACACGTGCCGAATGAACCGGTGTCTGTGTTGTTCATACATTAACTGCACAATTATATTTAGCATTTTCCTATTCGTCTCGGCTGCAGCCGTTGTCATGGCATTAATTAATTTACTTCTCAATGAACACGTTGAAAAGCATCCAGAATCAATGGCTCTTCTTCTTTCCACTTGCATCTTGTTGGTGTTGCGTCGCGCGCGTGTCTCTGTTCCTCCTCTTTTCATTCGAAGTGTCCCTGTCCATTCTTTGAAACACAAAACCAGTAATTATCATGAAACACAACAATTCAAGGTAAGATGTTATTTGTTTGCATTTTTGTTCCGGTTACGTTCGTTTCGCTCGCGTATTCTCCGCCGTCTAATAAATTATTATTTTTTGTAATTACCGACATTGTTTTGCAATCGTAGAATGTAATGCAATGCTTGGGTCTTTGCCAAATGCAAAACTAAATGTGCCTTTTGTGTGATACGGTGCGTTGAAATTAAACTTTGTCTTAGTTTGATCCTCTTGTGGTTCTACTTAAAAAATTATCAGATTCAAAAAAGGTCAGTTAAACAAGGAGGGTCAGGTAAACAACGTAGCCCTTGGAGCGGCTCGGTGGGAGAGGGTGTTGAAAGCAAGCTTTTTTTGAGAGCTGTGTTCGAGAATTATTCATCGCACTTAAAGAAACGCTTAAGCATTTCTCTCGTGTTATAGCCATTTAGAATTATTAGACCTCTGCATTCCAAAGAGAAGTATCTTTTAAATAGCCCTTGTTTATGTGTAACTTTATTTGGCGATGTTATGTATGTATGTTGAACTTATTTGTGCTGCTGCTGCGTTGGCAGCGGTGCACAAGCACAAGTGACAAAAAAAACTCAAAAATTTGTCAACAATCCTGTGGCCTTAAAAATATATAACAGGTGACGTTTCAGGCATTGGCCCACGTGCTGTGAAGAAGAGTCATTTCCCAAAACATCATCTCTCGCTTAGTTTTTTTTACAGCCACTTATTGATGAATGTGGGGCTTCTCGTCTGTAACATGTGTATACTAATCCGTCCATGGCATGAAATAAATACTTTCGACAAAGCTACGTTAAAACAAGAACTATAACAGACGAACATTCGAGTCCATGAAATGCATTATTGACCACATCGTTGACTGGATAATCAATTAATGACGTTTCCAACACTGTCTCTTGCAACGGTTGAGTCAGCCAAAGTCAAGAGCAGTGTGCGTGCGTGTGTGAGAGTCCGTCGTTGTGAGACTGTGATCTGCGGTGCTGTCTCGTGGGCGCACCCGGTGCCGTCCGCGGGCTGTGCCCCGGCGCGGTTGTTTGCGTTCGCCGCGGGTGGGTAACGGGAGCGTTTGCGGCGTGTCGTTGTGGCGGCGGTGGTTGTGCCGCGCGTGTGCAGCGAGCTGCCGGAGCGCGAGGAGGGCGAGGGCCAGGAGAGCGAAGTGCAGCACTCGGGCGGACACCGAAACTGGGGCCCCCCACGCAGGTCTGCTCACGCACAAGACAAAGGTCCCCCGTGTAGCCTTAACACTTTGTTGAGGGGGGGTGGGGGGGCAAGTGCTTTATTAGCGAGCGACCTATGGTAGGCCGGTGTTGGCGAACGGGAGGGGGCTGGGTGGTCAGCAACGACGCCCGTCCGCCTTTGTCTCCCTGGTGGTGATGTTTACACACCGCACCAGGTACTCATTTGAGTCAACCTAGGGGAGGCCCAGGACCGGTTCAGGCAATCGTCACTGGTGTAACCCGTGAGCAGGAATCGGACTCGGCTCGCCGTGTTTCATAGCGCAGTGCGCTAGCCTCTACACTCCTGTTGGCACATGTGCGTGCACACAAAGACTTAAAGATTCCCCCATATGGCATTTAATAGACTGTTGGGGCAGGTCCTGTGAGCGAGCTTCTGTTAAGGCTGGCACGGCGCACAAGGGGGTGGGGTGTCCGATGTGCATGGCACAGGACTGGAGTGTGTGGCATGTGCGTTTGTGTGTGTTTTTTGTATATTATGGTGTGTGTGTGTGTGGTATGTGTATGATGTGTGTGTAAGGTGTACGGTGTAGAAATATGGTGTATGTGGTGTGTGTTTTGTGCAGTTTGTATATGGTGTGTGTGGTTTATTTGTGTGCGGTATATGTATGGAATGCGTGTGGTGTGTATGTATGGTGTGCATGTGGTATATGCTGTGGAAATATATTAGATCTGCCAGTCATCTCATTTAACCCATGGCACCTGGGTCTGTCCCATGGCCTCTCAGCGAGCCTTCAACACTTAACGTGTCCTCGGAGTGCACCTAGCCTGGCACAAGCGCCGTGGTGACGTCGCCTCCGCTTAGTGGCGAATGGCGGCTGCTGTTGTCTTTGTGTATATGGTGCATGATGTGTGTGGTATGCACTGGTGCTGCCTGGGCACTGCAGGGTCGAGCTACGGCGAGTTCCAGGGGTGCCACTGGGCATCAGCATCGTGGGCGGTCGTGACCAGGCCAGCGGTGGTGCCGCCCCTGTCAACCCGCTCCATGCCGGCATCTTCATTAAGCAGGTCCTGGAGGGCAGCCCGGCCGACACCACAGCTGGCCTGCGTGCTGGCGACAAGATTGCTGCTGTAAGTATCTGTGTATCAGGCATTGTGGGGAGCGGTTGTGTAATAGTTATTGGTGCTGAGCTACTAACCCGGCGTGACCAACAAGTTACTAATAGTACGCAAGGTTTATGGTACTCGCCACCATAGCCACGGTCTTTGGTACTTGCCATCATACGCACAGTCTTTGGTACTCACCATCATACCCAACGCCTATGGTACCCCAGTGTGGGTTTAGGCAGGGGTGTACTTGCATGGACATCACATTCTCTACTAAACTATGTTATTTTACCAGGTAAGGCCAACTGAGCTACATAGGTCTTTTTCAGAAGCGACCGAGCCACATATGATAGCTCAAACGAAATGGATTATCATGTGGAAATATTAGCCAAATACCCTAAACGCGTGTTTCTAAATGTGGAGGGAAAACCCGGAGGACCTGGAGAAAAGTCCACGCGACCACGGGGAGAGAGACATGCAAACTCCAAATAAACAGCAGGTGTTGGGGTCGGGATCTAACCCACGACCTGCATACCAGGCGAGGGAGTTAACATCTCGCCACTGTGGCGCCCCATTAACTGCAGCAGTGTGTAGGGAATTGCTAAGAGGACTTAAACCTCAACTTCATTTACCTGGCCTATAATGTCATCATGGGGCCATGGCTTTGTGTAGTTTTCAGGTTTCTGAGTCCCTGACCCCATTGTTAGGATTATTAAATACCTTGCCTAAAATATTTGGCAGTTAACCAGCATTGATTCCAGAAACTGCTGATGAGACACTGAATTTTGAAACCGTTCCAGCCTGTGCTTGTACTGAACCAATGCTGATGAAATTGTGCACTTGCAGATGGCCATTGGGCCGATGGTTTGTGTACGAAATGTTTGACATTTTTTTGCATGGATAGACAGACACATGGAGGCGTCATATTGTCTACTTATCAATTTTGTAATTGATATCCACAATGACGCTAATGATTAGTTTGTGTTAATGGCGATGGACTGGCCAAAGTAATGCTGTGCGTCGGAACCATTCTCTGTTCGCTTGGCTCCAAAACTATTGAACGTATTTCTTTTTGACCGCATAGATTGACAAGTTTTCCTTGGCTGTAGCAGTGAAATTTCCATTTGGTGTGGATAAAACAAGAGGCTAATCGATACCCCTGTGCGGTCAATGGATGGCTCCCCACTGGTGCATGTGTTACCTATGATGCTAATTTTATACTTTCTACTTGTGCGAAAAAGTAGGTGGGAGAGTCTGCTCCAACCAGAAACTGGAGCTCACCATGAGGTGCCACGGTGGCTAGGAGATGTTAACTACCTTGCCTGGTATACAGGAGGACGTGGGTTCAATCCTGACCCTGATGCCTGGGGTATATTTGGAGTTAGCTGTCTCTCTCTCCCCGTGGTCGTGTGGATATTTCTCCGGGTCCTCCGGTTTTCCCTCCACATTTTTAAACATGCGTTTAGAGTATTTGACTGCTATAAATTTTCATCATGATATGCCAGTTCGTTGAGCTATCATTTGTGGCCAGGTCGCTTCTGAAAAAGAGCTATATAGCTCAGTGGGGCCTTACCTGGTAACATAAAAAAACAGTTCATAGTTTAGTTTGTTTAGGAGGGTGGGGTGTTATAATCACCATCACCAAAACAAAGCACATGCCTGGACATAAAACGAACTATCCTCTCCACTCTCCTCCATGAGTGATTGGGTGGCTGTGGAGAGGGCGTAGAAGTTCCCTACCTAGGTAGCGAGGGTGCTTATCACCAGCGCAGGCTTACCAGTGGAGGTCCGAATCAGCGGAGCGGATTTATATTTTTCCTCGATTGCATAATGGTGGTGTGTGGAAGCAGCCCCGGCCTCTCCATGCCAAGCTTTGCGTCTTCCCGGGATCAACAGTGCCCTGCCTTCTCTATGCTGGAGAAACGTGTGGCTACTTTTGCAGGAACACGTGAGCCGGTTTGAAACATTTGGGCTGGCCTGTCTGCGATCCACCCTGGGTTTAACCATACTGGATTGCTTGAGGAGCTCACAAATTTGTGAAAATCTAGACAGTCCCACCAGTGAGCTTATCTGGCAGGAGATGATGCATTGACTGTTTCATGTACCCTCTATGCCCAGCCAGCTCATGTCCAAGCAGCTTTTGTATAGCCAGCTGAACGGGGTTAAATGGGCATGGCACATAACGTGGCAGGGAGAACCTGGAGCTGGGTGGACTTGCTGACAACTGCTACCAGCAATGACAAGATCGGAGCTTGGTGGACTTACTGACGACTGCTGCCAACAGTGACAAGATTGGCCTCTGTGGAGGAGGCTCAAAAAGGATGCTCCTGGGTAATTGGAGGCAGCCACTATTCAGCAACAACAAAAGGCAGAGGAGCGATGCTCACAACAACGAGGAGAGTGCCGGGCGTCCGACACCACAAGGTGGCACGGTGGGGAGCATTTACCCATAGCGCTTAGGTGTCTCCCGTGACTTGGAGATTTCACATGGCCACAAAGTGCACATAACTCGGCACAAGTGCTGTGGTGACGTCACACAAATGGCTGCTGTTGTAGTTGGTATTTAACAATTCATGCCACCCATCCCCTCGCTGTTTGGATGAATTGTTACGATTCACGGTCATTATTTGATTTAAACATCTTATTTTTTACGTGAGTAAAACTCAGTTTTATATAGTTCCGTTCGTCACATTAGCCTTCATGTGTATCTTTTATTTTTATTTTCATGAAGTGTAGTTGACTTGCACACAATTCTTTTGCATGTGTAGTGAGTCACTGCAGAGACACGAATAATAGTAAGAGGCATACACGTTTATTCTACACTTTCCACAGTATAGGGGATAACTATATATGGGTCAGGACAGCCGGCACACTGCCTGACCCAACACCGATGAGGAGGTGAAGACGGGGACGAAGACTTGTGAAGACAACGGGTTTCATTCCCACACCGCAGCAGCCCCGACCCAGCGTCGGGGCCTCCCTTTTATCCTCCGGCGCGTGGCCTGGCTCCTCCCTCGGCCACGCCCCCTTCTGGAACCTACCAGAAGGTTCTGGGCTCTGCCCCACGTGTCCTCTCTGTCACTTTTACCCTACATCCATGACTATCACGTGCCCTACTGGCAGACCGGCCGCTGTATCCTTTAATGCCCTTCACTGCCAGCAACCGGCGCTACGCGCTCCAGGGCACACTTCACCTGCCCTGCTGGTAGACCGAGCTATTACACCCACGATCCCGCTCTCTACCAGTAACCAGCGCTACGTGCCATAGTGACCCATTCTATGTCTCTACACATGTATTGCGAAACAAATAATTATAATCACTGACTCGTTACACGTGTAGTGGTGTATTCACACGGACACTGTCAGCTTTTCTCCTGTGTCACTGTATTACTTCGCATCCCGCACGGATGCTCCTCGCTCTTTACAAAACGCACTCTTGCTTCGTACTCTCTCTCTCTCTCTCTTACTCCGCTCGCCTGCCACTTAATACTCTGCTAGCCTGTTACTGAATACTCCGCCAGTCTGTCAGCCTTCTCTCACACCTCCAAACTCGTCCGTGCCCCCAGCGGGGGATCAGCCAACACCGCTGGGGAGGACGAGGTGTGGAGGGCGATGTCCCAGGCATCTTGTCTCTGGCTCTTGTCCTCTTCGTTCCTTCAGCTCCAACCAACTCAACCGCGTGTTCTCCGCACACCCCGTTATATCCCCCTCCTCATTGAGGGTCCTCAGTTGCCCCCTATTAAGCCGGCGCCTCCTGCACGTGCTCTCTCTCCCTTATCATCTCCACCTCCTGTCTCTCCGGCGACTGCTCCATGTTTGCATGCTTGCACCTGCCTGTCCCTAAACGCATCCACCGAATTACCGCTTCTCCCCGTAATTGCTGGCGCCTCTCTGGCGGCTGTTCCATGTCCTAACGCTTGCACCTGCTCGCCCTGAAATGCACCCGCTGTTTGCAACCCTGCGCACGTTACGCCACTACACATGCATGGTATGTATGGGATGAAGAAACAACTTGCCCTGCGGTGCAGTATCTGCCACGCTGTGCCTTGAACCTAGAGACCCCAGCTCGATTCCTGGCTGTGACTGATATCATTGGTGAGCGGTATCTCCACTGTTACCAAACAGCATTGACCAGTGTGGTGAAGTATGGTCAACCAGACTTAATTTCTAAGGTATGGTGAAGCTTTTATTCGGGTGGCTGGAAAGGTCAGTGAATTAAAATCCTAGTTAAGGATTGAGACAGCCCATCATCTGTCTGTGACGGGTAAATTAATTCTCAATATTATTTAATCCAATATATATAAAAAAAGCCTGACGTAGTTTGGTAATCGAAAATATATTTCATTAAATTATTAAATTCCTTATGGCAAAAGGGAGGAGGAGGAGGCCTTGGCAATTACAGCGAGATCATCTTGTCTCGGTGAGCTCCGGCTGCACGCGATATTTTCGAGATAAATGTTTGCACGTGTCATTTTATCCGTGCATTGATTTATTTTTTTAAAAATCGTGGGGGCGAAGTATACTTTGGAAAATGCACTGAGCGACGGGAAAAAGGTGAACACGCGGATCGGGGAGCAAACACCAATTTTGAGCCGTCGTGTTGACCCGTGGAAAGAAAGAGGGGCGAGTGCAGGGCAGAGGTCGCAAACGGGTTTTGATTCCTTACCCGTACCCATACCTGGCCGCACCAGGGTCGCAAACGGGTACCCGTACCCGTACCCGGCCGTACCCATACCCTACCCGTGGCTGGGTACGGGTATCGGGTACCTGATTGCGACCTCTGGGATGAAGCCATGTTGCAGGCGCGGGTCGGTTGATTCTAGGAACTTGAATTGTGAGAAGAGACAAGACGTTGGGAAATGAGTGACAAACAGTTACCAGTGACTCACGGCCTACCCGTACCCGTACCCGGCCGCACCAGGGTCGCAAACGGGTACCCGTACCCGTACCCGGCCGTACCCATACCCTATCCGTGGCTGGGTACGGGTAGGGTACGGGTATCGGGTACCTGATTGCGACCTCTGGGATGAAGCCATGTTGCAGGCGCGGGTCGGTTGATTCTAGGAACTTGAATTGTGAGAAGAGACAAGACGTTGGGAAATGAGTGACAAACAGTTACCAGTGACTCACGGCCTACCCGTACCCGTACCCGGCCGCACCAGGGTCGCAAACGGGTACCCGTACCCGGCCAGGTACGGGTAGCCGGGTATCGGGTAGGGTACGGGTATCGGGTACCCGGTTGCGACCTCTGATGCGGGGACACGTCATCGCGAGCGGGGATGATGTGCCACGGTCCGGATGACGACGGGTTGGCCGCCAACGGAGGGAACGCATCTGACGGGATGGCCTCTTGCGGAGATGGAAGCGATAAAATCGCCTCTGTGTGTCCGGGAACTACGGCGCAAACTTGGAACGTGCACACGGTTCGTTTGATTCCGGTGGCTGCCGGAAACCACAGGCAAGCTGGAAGACAGCCAGAACCGGTACTAACCTACACTTGCCCCAAGCTCTCTGGCCCTACATCGCGATGTTACGGCCCACTCCATGGGAGGAAACCGGGAGTACCCGGAGAAAACCCGGGCATGCGAGTGGGAGGGTGCGGATACACTCAGTCCCCCTAAAGATGGAGATTGTTCCCAATTGCTGTACTGCCTTATCTGGCGAGCCAGGAGATGGCGACCTCGCAGCCCCCAGGGGGTTTTGGGAGACTCGCAAACATTTGTGTGATCCACCAACCTTCGCTGCCACCCTCAATGCTGGATTGCAGTCGTGAGCCACATTGCCTTCTTGGCTAGATCGGTCGGAATGACGGCAGCGTGTGTTTGTGTGTGTGGGACCTTCATCCAGCAGTGGATATTACAATCAGAATCTTTATTTAGACTGCAAGAGGAATCCGATGAGCTATGAAGCTCTTTTCCACAGATGTCCAGTATGAGCGAGTCAGCAAGTTACGACAGCGAACAATAAAAAAAATCGATCGAAGTGCAAAATCCAGAAAAAGGTAAGCAAGTCACTGCATGTCCGATTTATCACGCTTGGGCAATGCAGCAAAAAGAACAACAAACCAGTCCCAGACCACACCAAGACAACACACACAGCCTCAATAAAATGGCACATTAGCATACACGATCGTGGCTGACAACAATTACGATGGGTTATTTCGTCACGAGCTCTGTTATTCTGTCGGGTGCACATTCCGGTCTGCTACCGCCCTTAATTGGAGCGAGTACGAACTCGTTTACCCTCGCCGCTACGTTGCTCGTGCATCAACCTCGCGGCAATGAATTATGACAGCGTCGGGCCCAGCTGTGATGGCTCCAGCTTCTTGCGTGTAATGGGCTTTTGTCGTGCGGGACGCAGTCTTTAATCAAAGACGCGGGGGCCTCCCTTCCCTGGCGCGCGCTGCCAGGATGTTTAAATGAAATGAGCTTAAGCTCGAGTTTTTGACAAAGTCGACAGACGTCTCACCATTAATTTGGCCCCCCTTTTGTTGGAATCCACCCAGTGATGTTGACCTACTAAGGTTGACGACAATTAAAATCGGCCTCTACGGTTTGCTGTGATCTTCCACGTCCGTACGGCGGGGACTCGGTCGTTCATACGTCCACGTCGAGGTTGACGAGTCGAAAAGTGGACGGCTTCGGGAGTAGCCGCGTGAATGAAATGCTGCCGGCGAGTGATAGAAGTTGGCGGTGGTGTTGTGACAACTTCGCCCATGATTTGAAACTTGGTGACCTTGTTATGCCCAGGAAAGGCTTCCTGAGCCCAACATGATCTTAGGGATCCCTGTTTAGTATCTTTTAAAACATTATAGTTGAGTCAATTCTGAGAGAGAGCAGAGACCGGAATGGCCTGATAAAACTTGCACCGTTGAGATGATAACGCAAACTTTACTGTGCAGATAGCCCCATCAGAACACACACCCTACTTGCTGAACTGCCACACGTAGGTGCCTCGTGCCCTGCAGGTAAGCATCTCGTGCGCATCATAGTTCCATCTCGGTGTGATCCACCAACACCGCATTCACAAGCTCCGTGTCATGAGAGCAGCCAGCGCTGCTCTGGCTCTCATTGCCAAGAATGCTTGCAGATGCATTATGGGGGAACATTGGCAGCAATCCAGACACTTTCTTGTCAAAGGCAGACAAGATGGTTCATGCAATGGTATCATAATCGTCGTCATCACCCTCATTTATAATGCACATAATCGATGTGCAGCTTCCAGTAACACGATTGCACATCTTTTTATTTAAAGCTTTCGTGACTGCAGGGATTCATATTCTTGGTTCTTTTGGTAAAGTCACGTAGAATGGAAATAATAAAATAATATTAATATAAAACAAATATTCTCACGACGTTTCGTCTGCAACACAAGCAATCATCATCAGGTGTGAAATCGACTGCAACACAAGCAATCATCAGGTGTGAAATCCACACCTGATGATGATTGCTTGTGTCGAAACGTCGTGAGAATTTTTTATTGTTTTATATTTGTATTATTTTATTATTTCCCTTCTACGTGACTTTACCGAAAGAACCAATAATTCGATTGCACATATTTACGTTGTGAACCAGTGGCATGCTTGCTTTACAAGGGAGATTAAAATGCATTGCATTTACAACCGCCCCAGAGTAATTACTGTAGAACACATTGGAGCGTGCCTTATCTTGCTCGTAACGCAGCTCCGCTATCTTCGGGTGGTGCTCACTCCGTGGTGCGCCCTGTGGCTCTTTCGTTGTCGGCAGAGATAGCTTTCGTCGTTGCCGAGTTGCGTGTGTTTTTACGTGTTGCATGCTCCCACACACGCCGGTAGTTTGTAGCTCAGTGCGCTCATCAACGCACTACAATCCCGTCGACCTGAATTCGATTCCCAGCCATGGCCAACACTAATTTGCCACTGATATCTGAACTTGGTTGGCCCTTCCCTAGGTCGGCTCGGCCTTAAAATGAGTACCGAGTGCAGGGTTTAAACATCAGCACTGGGGAGACAAAGGCTGTGGTGTTGGCCCCATCACCCCATTGTGCACTATTCCAGACTTAATAGGCATTTTACTAACAGTACTTGCCCGAAAAGTATGTTGTTTGGTTGTTTAGTACTTTTGTGTGTCTGTGAATGTGTAATGTGGGTCATTGTGTTGCCGTGTGTGTATTGTGTGTGGATTTCAATGGTGAGTGCTCGTCTGCATTTGCAGATGAGGCATGGTTGGCGACATGTGGTGCGATCCTGACGAGAACCGACTTGCTTATTTCCCAATCAATCGAACCACTCCCTGTCTCGCACCGTGCCCCTTAATAGGCGCTCGCCAACAGCGCTTGCTCCGACCACTCGCGAGTCCACACGCCGACCTCTTTGCCGGCGTGTGCGTGCATTCGTTTATTGTCGGTTGTGTCTGCCCCCCGGCGCAGGTCAACGGAGTGCAGCTCCTGGACGTCACTCATGCAGAGGCTGCGGCCTTGCTGAAGCGCTCGGGCAACCCGCTCGTGCTGACCGTGCAGTCCCTCGTGACTGTCCCACGGGTGAGTGAGTGAACGAGTGAGTGAGTCACGTTGCGTTACATCATGGGACCTCCTTTGCCAGTACCAAAATATACTAATAGGGTTTTTCCCTTTGTTTCTGGCAACAAAACTGACACCTTTTGCAAGGAATCATGCTTACATTAACCACAATACTTGCGCCTTTTGGCGTCATCTGGTCGAACACCATATGAGACTAGGCTCTAAAGAAAGCTGTCTCTGGTGTGGACCAATCAGTTTCAAAGACAATGCATAAATTATCAGAGTATTGTTTTTTGTTTGCATTTGACTGCAAGTATTGTGGTTAATGTAAGCATGATTCCTTGCAAAAGGTGTCAGTTTTGTTGCCAGAAATAAGGGGAAAAAACCTATTAGTTCACGTTGGGTTCTTTACTACGGCTGTGCTGCCAGGCAAAGCAATTTGCCGCACCTGCTTAGGGTTTTTGATTACATTTGTTAAGGCCAGGAGCATGGAAGCGTAGTACGATAATGGATTTTGCTGGACTCGCCTCTCTGTGCTGCCCACAGAGTGAGCCTGACGGCCTATAACACCTGTTGTGTAGGTGTAAGCAAATTACTTGGTGATACTGCATTGGCGGTGGTACACAAGCACAAATAACAGAAATCCGTGACACTGTAAAAAACCCAAAAAAACACACCACACATCGAAAATCGTCAAACAACTCGCAGTACGTCCAGAAAGCACATCAGAGGGGAAGGTGTGGGGTCGGTCCTTGTGTATGCTGAGCAGTCTTTGTGAATTCACAAACCTGTTTGACACTCATTTGTAATATACATTGGAGAGTATATATGTACGGGCAGCACGGAATCAATTTGTAGTGTGGTTAAGGCATCGCTGATTTCAATGAACTTGCGTTTTTCCCTCCGTGATTGTAGTCCGTCAGTAGCGACGACCGGCGTTTATTTTACGATCGTGATTATGAAGCCGCCTGGCGCTCTGAGCCTTTGCTGCCAAGGTAGTTGAGCAGTCCCATTGGCCTCTGGTTCCTTTTGAATTGGTCTGTTGCCTCGAAATGCACAGCCACCTGATTGTATTGTGTGGAATTGCCAAAACACCTCCCGCTGTAGAGTTGCATTGCTTGTGATAGAAAACCATGCGTATGCCGGTATTTTGTTCCTCTGCCTGGGAATAAATAAGCGGATGATGCTGCGCTTATCTGCCCCTCCCGTGTAAAAAATAAAAGCACTTTTTTTTACACGTGACATCAGCCATGCTGCTTTCTTGGGAGGTCATCGTTTCAGTAGCATTGGTTCAATACGAGCAAATGATGGACCGCATTTGACATTCGGTGTCTCACCAGAAGTCAGTCTCCCTTTTGAACCACGTATGCTCACTCTACTCCCCTCTGCTGCAGCAATCACGGCTTTCTTCAAAGCCCCCAGTCAATCTTTGAGTGGGAGGTCGCTCATTCTCTCTGCTGCTCCTCTCATCTGTATTGACCTTCCCACAGCCGTCCGTGTTGTCAGCTCCCTGCCCCTGTTCAAGTCCAGACTCGGCACCTCCCTTTTTTCCACCACCCATGACCGACTGCTTCCTTAATTAAAATAAATCTGCTCACTCTTTCTTTGCAGAATCTTGAGATGTGGTTAGATTTAGACTCGATATAAATCCTAATTTGGTTCTATTCACAAACTGGCAGGCTAGTGTATGACCTGGAATTGAAAGGGCTTCCGTTCAAATCCTATTCATGGGTCGACTCGGCTTTTCATCTCTGAGGCCGATACAATTACACTGGTCAACAATTTTTTTTTTTTTCTGGCCTGGACTTTTGCAGTTGTTTTAGACTAATTTCAGGGTGCTGATTCCAAATCTGATCTCAGATTTGCTCTATCACATCTCATTTTTATGCTATCGGCATACCCCATTTTCATTGATTTTACCCGAAATTAACTCTGTCACTTATGATTGCAAGTTGTTGCGAGTCAGTGACTGCTTTAGTGTTAAATTATGGTGCTGTATTTTTAGGATAGTGTGTTTATAATATCATTTTATGTAGATATCCACATTTATTTAATATTTTTCTTCTGCAGTTTTTATTGAAACTGCAATATTTGATATCTCAAAAACCTGATGTGATAGACAAAAACTGATGCCAGATTTGGAATCGGCACCTCAAAATTACATTATAACCGTTGGAATACCTTATGCCAGAAAAAGTGTGTTGACCAGTGTTATTAGCACTTTGTGGAAAGTCAAAAGTGGTTGTCCTGTAGAGTAACTGCCCACTGCCATAGGATTGTGGAATGTCTACCACTGGCTCAGGGCTATTAACAGAGGTGTGCAACCACCCCTTTCACCATTTGAGCCAGGGCTTTGTATTTTGCCCTTTCACGGCTTCAGTTAAACAATTGTCATTTTACCGTCGGGTATTGAAATTCGTGTTTCATCGACATTGCAAAATTTCCCGTCTCATCGTATGTCAAGTATGACTGCAAAGGGGCATTCCTGGCAGTGCATTGGGTGTTCAAGGAAGAGGCCTACCCAAAAAGTACACAGCTGAAGCCTTCTACGAGAGCGGTTCCGCGTGTCTGTACGCACATGTCAGTGAGCCGCTTGAAAGATGTTGGGTAATGATTGGTGTAATCATGCAGTGGCTCTTTTTCTTTTATTACCTGGGCATAGCACATCAATCAAATAGCACTGCAATTCCGATCGAAATAATGTGTCCCCTTTACGCGATTACGGAAATATGTTCCTATTATCCCGACCGCAAGCTGACGTTTACATCCGTGCTGAGATGTGTGATGGTACATTGAGTTTCATGCGTGTCAAATGATTTGACTCATTCCATTAGTAAGCCATGCTTTATACAATTATATATTCTGTACTCTTCTGCAGAATGGCACTCCGTATGTATTGTCTGGACGATTGTGTAATTTTTGACTGAGGTTGCCTCATGTTTTGGGAATTGTCCAGATACACACCACGGCCCTGTCTCCCCAGGCTCCCTTGACTACGTCTTACGTTTGAAGATTCGTTCGTGAGAAAGAAAGGCTTTCACTTGAGTTTGAGGCGAGCCATAGCAGCTCGCTAGGGACGCGGCTGCAGTGACGTCATGAGAGCGCTATCACGGAGAACCTAAAAGTCAACCTTTAAAGGGCTCTTTTTTTCACGCGATAACATTGGCCACTTAACCCGCGACGCATGTTCACAACACAACATCTGTTTGCTTTGAGAGTTGGGTAATCCCGTGCTACCTCCAATTAGCACGGTTGGCTACATGAGGCCTGAAAGAAGTTCAACATACAATACACATCTATTAATTTAAATATTTGTTTGGTCTATTTTCCACAATTCTATCCGAATTGTGCCGTCGTTGTCATGTCGTGAGACAAAGTATCCAATCAGAACTCTCGGAGAGCGGTGCACTCTTTTGTGTTTTTGACCCGCGGAAGTGAATACCTCTAAGCTCCCTCTAGGGATCTCTTCAAAGTGACCTCTTGTTTGCATAGAAGGGAGGCAGCAATTTCCTTCTCGCCCTAAATATCAGTGCTTAGAATACCAGTTCTTAGAACTGATATTTAGCCAAATTAAGTGTGGAACCATATTTATTGTGATAGTTTGTGCAGCCCTTGATGACCAGGCTTTAGACCATAAACTCGCTACACCTGAGCATCCCAATTAGTTAAGGAGCCCTTCTACAAGGACGACCACAGCCCAAGACTATCAGCAGTGGGCGGTAGTTACAGGACGTCTCAGGGTCGAATCAGGCAGCTGCCTCTGTTTAATCAGAGGCAGCTGCCTGCTTCAACAACTGGCATAATGGTAAGATCACCAACGCCGTTTAGTTTGTTGTCCTTCCCCCCCCCCGCACCTCCAATTAGCACGGTTCGGCTATGTACGGTGCGAAAGAAGTTCATCGTACATACAGTCCATACAAAGACAAAGATTCCCCCGTATAGCCTTGATAGACTGTAGGGGCAAGTGCTGTTAGCGAGCACTATGAAGGCCGGAACGGTACACGAGGGGGTGGGTGGCCAGCACCACGCCCGACCGCCTTTGTCTCCCCAGTGGCGATGTTTACACACCGCACCAGGTACTCATTTCAGGACCGGTTCAGATAATCGTCACCGGTGTTTGCCGTGAGTGAGAATCGAACCCAGGTCGCCAGGTTCATAGCGCAGCGCGCTAACCGCTACACCACCGCTCCCCACAGTCCATACAGCATACATACACACATGCCGACGGTCTTGGTCCGTGGTCGTCCCTGCCTGGATTCGAATCCGGGATCTAAGCGGTTGCAGCTCAGCGCTCCGACCTCGAGCCACCCAGCCAACTCCCAAGCGCTGCCCTCTCATATTTCTGTCTCCGTGTCGGCAGCCGCACAGCGTGCACACCCTCCTGATGGCTCCGCAGTTGCCCCAAGAAGAGCAGGTGGAGGTCAAGGTGCATCGTGCACAGGTGACTGAGTGGCGGCAGTGAAGCCCTCGTTTTTCTGCTTGATCCGCCAACTCCCTCCTCCCATCGTGATTGTCATCTTCACCAGCCGTCGTCTGTCCACTTGCTGGATGAAGGCCATCGCGATCGCCCATCTCGCGCGTGAGCTGACCTCATCGCTCCCTCTGTCGTCTGTCGCGGTTGGTTTTCCTGTCAGGGCTGTTCACCCCTTTGGCTGCCGCTGTGCCGTCAGCGTTGACCGTCAACCAGCCTATCTTCTAGCGACGTGTCCTGCCCAAGCCCGCTTTGTGTAACCGTCAGTACGATGTCTTCCTGTGTGTGGCTCTCAGTGTAATTCCCAGCATGTCCCCTCCCTGCGCTTATTTATTAACGTTTCAGCGTTTGTTTAATTTCCTTTGTCATTGTCAGTGCTTTTAATCTACATTTCGTAAGCGAGCAATGTGCATTCCGCCTCCAAGCAGACACGGGTGCTGACGGTACCGGTCAGCACCGGTACTGTGGAGGCAAAGCGGGTGGCCGAGTGTGTGTGGTGTGTTGGGTAGTGCAACAGTTGGCGTGGTGCGCTGCGAACCCAGCGACCCGAGATCGATTCCTGCTCATGGCCAACAACAGTGACGATTATCAGAAGTCAGTCCTGGGCCTCCCTAGGTCGACTCGGACCGCAAATGAGTACCTAATGCGATGTGTAAACATTAACATTTAGAGATAAAGGTGGCCGTGCTTGGGGTTAGCCACCCACCCCCTCGTGTGCCATGCCAGCCCTCATGTACTCGCTAACAGCACTTGCCCCAACAGTTTGTTAAGGCTATACGGGGGATATTTATCTTTGTGTTGCATGCCCCCTCCACCACCTTTTGTGTCATCACGGACTTAATAGGTGCTCACTAACTAAGAGCACTTCCACAGTGGTTATCCGTCATGGACAGATTGGCTCAAACATAGGAATGTGGAAATTCCCTTTCCTGGTTTAAAACCATAAACGGAAACGAGCATTGCTCATTGGCTCTTTGAGGCACTTTTAAACGATCCGTCGCATCCTACGACCCGAAATAGAAAGTTTGCGTTTTGTAAAAAAAATTCTGCATATGCGGTGGTGGAAAATTGGTCAACGCACTGTGCCATGATCCCGGAGAAATTGCTCCATTTCCAGCCTTGTCATCCATTCGTCACTCTCCCTTGGGTCTGCTCAACCTTAACGGAGCGCCTGGGACAGTGCGTTAACATCAGCACTGGGGAGACAATGGGGGAGGGGGGGGGGCGCGTATGGTTTTGGCCACACCATCCCCCCAATCCCATCGAGGACCAGCATTGATCAATCCACTGCTGGATGATGTCGAAGGCAAACCAAGATGTAACATTTCACCTTGCATTAATAAGTGCTCGAAAACAGCACTTGCCCTAGCAGCCCGAGCAGGCTCTAGGGGGTGGGGGGGGGGGGGACCTTTGTGGGCTTATTTCTTGGATATCTGTGAAAAATATCTTTGTATCAGAATCAGAATCTTGATTTATGCTGGAGGAATCCAATGAGCAAATAAAGCTCTTTTTCACAGATCTCCAGCAGCCCATCGGATTGCTCCGGTATGAATAGAGACACTGATTCTGAACGGCCACCGTGTGTATCCCGTCTGTGACGATGGGCGCTGGCGTGCGAACGAACGGACAGGCGCACGCGCGCGCCGGGCAGCCGGCAGACGCGGCGGACTGCGCCCCCAATCAGCCGGGCGCCGCAGCGGGGCCGGGCGCCGGGCCTGGCGCTCCCGCCCCAGCCCAGCCGCAGCGGGGATCGCCCACCGCTCCTCTGTCCCACCTCGAGGAGGACGATGAGGAGGAGGACGTCGACGAGGAGGAGGACGAGCAGCAGCCAGGGGATGGAGCCGGCTCTGCGGGGCTGAGCCAGGGTCAAGGAGAGGAACTTGTGGAGCAGGACTTGGGTGAGCTCACAGAAGGTGAGGATTCCTGATGGCTGGCATGACGGTACGATCGGCGCCTGTTTTGGGGTTGTTTTTGAACTGCTTTTTTTGCGTTCAGTTGTTGTCTTTCTTCCTCACCATCCGATTACGTACCGTACAAAAGAAATTCGACGTACCGCGAAGCTAATTGTGATCCTAGATTTGAAGCTTTCGTGACTGCAAGGATTCATACTCTTAGGTTTTTTCGGTAAAGTCACGTAGGTAAAAAAAAAAAATAATAATAATAATAAATGAAAATAGCTCATTTAAATCACGACGTTTCGGAGGCAACACAAGTCTCCGTCTTCAGGTGGGACCGTCACAGCCAGATTTACTGTATCAAGTGAGGAGAAATCCAATCCGAGATAAGGCCCTCCCCCCTCCCCTAAACGTGTATTTAGATCTTGTCGCTTGGATTTCTCCTGACTTGATACAGTAAATTTAGCTGTGACGGTCCCACCTGAAGACGGAGACTTGTGTTGCCTCCGAAACGCCGCGATTTAATTATTTAGTTTCATTTATTATTATTTTTCATTATTTTTTTCCTATGTGACTTGACCGAAAAAACCTAAGACTTATTGTGATCGCCTGTGACCACATCACCCGGAGTTGTGCCCGATCCCGCCAGAAGCTAACGTCGGGGATTCGGGCCTGGATAGTGCTGGGATGGGCGACCTACATGCGCGCCAGTCTTGTTTGTCGGCGTATGTGGGGTTGTGCGGTGGTGTGGGCATCGGAGGGCAGTGCAGTAGAGACCGTTGTACTGTGTCACGTGGCTCCTGTTCTTCCCGCCTTCCCCAACGCCCATTGACCGGCGCGTGCCGAAGCGTGGACAACCCCGACGACCCGCACGATGTGACGGGGCTCTCATGCAGCTGTGATTGGGCGATAGGGCCGTGTACAATACACACGCGTCGTGATGCCACGTCGGGCCAGGGGGCCGATGGGTGTTAGGACAGTCAAGAAGTTTGCAAGTTCAAATCCCGGTCGCACGTCAAGGTAGTCTGTTGTCTCAAGGTGATGGGGGAGGGGATCAGTAACGCGAGTTTAACTTTGGACACCCCCCCCTCTCCCTTGTTAACCTTCTTTTACAGGGGTATCAGAGCTTGGGAAGACACCAGGGGGTTGTACATTTTATTGAAGCAGTTTATTGAAACGTGCGGTTTAGACAGGTTCCATCACGCTGTCATCCGTAATGTGTGTGTGTCAACCCCCTTCTATATCCTCTGTTGTGTACCTGAATATTCGTTCATTCCTTCACTTCTCAATCCGCTTGCCGCGGTGAGGGTCGTGGCGGCAGCATGTTGAGTTGGGAATTCCGGACCTCCCTTTCCCTGGCGACAGACTCGAGCTCTTCATGGGGAATTCCCAGGCGTTCCCAGGCCAGCCGAGCAACATCGCTCCTGCCAGCGTGTCCTGGGCAGACCCTGGGGTCTTCGCCCAGTGGGGGACATGCCCGGTTTCTATTTTTCTGCATAAACTACTTTTGGGAAAAACAAGATCTTTGCGGAAAGGTGTGGTTATCATTAATTTTCCCATACGGAACCTTTTCTTGTCAGGATTTTGTTGCTGTTCGTAAAATGAACCGCATAATCCGCCGCAGTTTAAATGATGCAGAGTGCAAAGCAAACACGTGACCCAGATTGGTATAAAAATCACTTTATTCGATCAGCAGGTCGCATCTGGTGGGGTATTATGTGGGTACTTCCATCTCTTCGCAAACGTCTGGTCAGCCTGGAAGAGTAGGCCAAATACCCTCTGCTGTAAGGGGAGCTCTCTCCAACTCCCTCTAGTGGAGACCCTTCTGCTAGCAGTTTTGTGCAGTTGCAGGGATTATATTAAACGCACGGATTAAATAAGCATTTATATTTTGTAATTGTACTGTTAGTTTGAACGTGAACTTAATACAGCGTATCATTTCTGTGGACTAGTCATTGCCACGAGAATGTGCATTCGTGATGAGCACCCACCCCATTTGTATTTTGAGCAGGGAAATATCGTCTTTTGATTTGTGATGTAATGCATTGTTACGTAATTGTGCGTGTGCGTAATGAGCATATTATGTAACAATAATCAAAACAATTATACCATGCGATCATATTTAATCTTACTTATCATTTGGCACACACACACGCGCATATTTTCTACCTTGCCTTGTTAACCGTCGACACAGTAATTTGCGTGCGTGGGTTGTGTGTTACGTTTCAAAAGGAACATTGGACTGTATTTTGATGCTTTGTTAACCAGAGCATTGCTGTGATCACACAGCTGTGCAGCGTTCCGATCATAATTTCAATAGATGTTAGAATCAGGGTGCTTTGCATGCAAGGTGAGTTGGCTTAACGCAGCTTCACAATGACAGCGGGATGATAAGGGAGGGGCAGGAGGAGGATGGAGCCAGTGAAACCGAATCAAAAGCTCCGCACGAACTCTCAAATCAGCAAAGTGCTCCGGCTGTGCATGCTTTGAAAAGCGGCATGGCATTTACCCAGTGGTGGAAAGAAAAAAAATGAGCAGCCAATTTGCTGCCAATGTGACAATGTGGTGGGGCTTTACACAGTGATTATCGTGGATGTTGGTGGCATGGTGGTTAGCGTACTGCGCTGCAAACCCCGATCGCTCCAGTTCGAGTCCTGACCGAAGCTTTCCATCAATGGTGGATACCCAAAACTATTTAAACTAAAAAACTGCAAAACATGTTTTTTTATTATATTTTACAAGGTGAGGCCCACTGAGCTGCATCGGTCTTCTTTCAGAAGCGACCTGGCCACAAATGATAGCTCAATAAAGTACCTCATCACGTGGAAATGTATAGACCCGGAGAAAAATTCACGTGACCACGGAGAGAGAGACACATGCAAACTCCAAATACACAGGTGTCAGGGTCGGGATGGAACCCACGACATCCTGTGTGTACCAGGCGAGGTAGTTAACATCTCACTACCATGGCACCCATCCCGGCCCTGGGCCTCGTTTCGATTAACTCAGCCTTAAATGAGTAACGTGCGGTATGGAAAAACAACAGCGTTGGGGAGAAAACTCACCATCTTCCCCCCACTCCCTTGTACGCAGTGGTGGCCTTCATAGGTGCTCCCTATAACAGCACTTGCCCAAATAGTCTGTTCAGGCTACACGGTGGATCTTTGTCTTTGTAGTGGATGTCAGATTTCGCTCGTGTCACCTGTCACCCGGGGCTTTTCTGTCAGAGCTTTTGTTTAGCGCAGGGCTGTGGATTTTGCAATGTCCCGTGTGACGTCGGTGTTTGTCTTGGCTGTCTGTTTTGTTTGCTGTGCGTATTGTCATCAGGAGGTGTGCACAGAAAGGAGAGAATCGGGGTTTGTCAAAACAGTCGAAACGCGTAACGTTGGCGATTGTTGTTGTAACGTTCTTACCCCGTTCCCTGACCGTGCATCTGTGAACAAGGGGCTTTGTAGCTCATCGGATTTCTCCAGTATAAATACAGATTATGAGTTTGGTCCATTGTTCATGATTGAGATGTCGATGCGTGTTTGGCAAAAATGGGATGAAAAGCGACGTTTGAAAATGTGAGTTGGGCCCATAGTGCCTTGGAGGACTTGGACATGTTAGTTATGCCCATGAGTCATAAATGAAACAGAGAAATATCGATACAGTGGTAGAGAATTAGTTATTATTTACAACATAGACAGGTACGATGTTGCGTACGCTATGCTATCATTTCCTTACGAATCACCTTGGCCAATAATGTTTTGTAGTACATTAACATATTGCTTAAATCCATGGTATGTAAATCATAGACTGGGATCATCATATACACTTTAAACAGGTATGCAATGGCATAATCCACGTTATAATATCCTTGTTACATCACCACCACTACCAGGCAGTACTCGTACTGCTGAATCGTTACTAACCCCCAATGCATTAGTGCCCATATCACGTGTGAATACATTTTCAAAAGTGCAATTGCATCATGTGTACCCGTCGGTAACCGCGTAATGGTATGACCCATATCTGCGTGAACACCCCTGGTGCCCCTTCTACCCCCCCCTGGCCTCCACAGTAAAATGGTACGACCCAAATCCCAGAAGCTGTTCCACTCAGATCCAGATCCATTCTGATGTGATTTCACTCGACAGCAGCTGGATCTTGCCCAGCACTTCGCGTTCGATCTCTGGGGTTTGGACATTTATATTGTGTGATTTGGGGATACGTGGGCCATTTTTGCTTCTGTTTTAAGTTTAATGAAAACAAAAAAATATTACAGGCTTAATGGATGACATTCTTGGGTTTTTTCGGTAAAGTCATGTAGGTAAAAAATTTAAATTAATAAAAGTAAAATAAAATAAAATAAAAATCACGACGTTTCGGAGGCAAAACAAGCTTCCGTCTTCAGGTGGAACCGTCACAGCACGCTCGCTGTATCAAGTAAATGATAAATTCCAAGAGATCCGACCCCGTATATATACTGGTTGAGGGGGTAGGAGCCAGGACAGGCCCCCTTTTTATTATTATGATAAGGTTGGTGCGGCTGAAACTACGGCTAGTCTACATAACAAAGGACTGAGCCTTTGCTATGTAGACTGGCTGAGAGGGGGGGGGGGGGGGGGGTGCCAGAGTTGTTAAAATGCAGCTGCTGCTAATGGGACAGAGCCCCTGCCATGTAGATGGTAAAAGCAAAAAAGCAGGTCGGGAAGAAACAGCCTCCTGCTATGTTGCCTGGTGGGTAAAACTTAAAGCAGGAAACCAGCGTGTGAAAAAAGAAGCTAAACATGATAAAACTAATTTCGATTTAAAGCTTTCGTGACTGCAGGGATTCATCTTCTTGGTTCTTTCTACGTGACTTTACCGAAAGAACCAAGAAGATGATAAAACAAATGAATGACTCTGGTGCATGGGCTGGGATACTCACAACCTACTGTGTTGTGAGGTTGCAGTATCCCGAGCAGGCCATTGATCTATCTGTGCTAATATTTAAGCGCTCTTGTCCAATACGCATTTATTTCCTCCCAAGTTAT